TTAAATTGTGTAACAATTGTGATTAGCATATTTTAGCACTTCGTATCGTATCTTCAAACGTCATGAAAGTTGTTATGCTAATCAAAGCAACTAATTTATGCTAAAGACGCGCTTATTACGGATTTATTTATTTAATGACTTTGTTACATTATTTACTTCCATTAGTTAGTACTTATATCTTTACAAAATATTAATGTGTTTCCAATAAAAATCATTATAGTAATAAATTTCTGTAGTAGCATTTATGTTATTTATGAATTTAATAAAAATGTCTGTGTCTAAATAAATTTTAATGCAACGATATTTAATGAATTTTAGAAAACTATTTTGAATAATTTAAGAATTAATTAAATTTAAGAATTTAATTATATAGAAATATGTTTATTTTATACTTCAATTAAATATTTTAAAACAAATTATAGTACAAGAAAGAAATATGTTACTTATTGGCCTCACTGGCATAAAGAGATAACGAAAGTGAACATCTTCTGTAAGATGAAATGGTATTATAAAGATAGCACATAGAGTTATAATAGAAACATGGATACGAAAGTAACTATCATCTGTAAAATGAAGTGATGTAATAAAGAAAGCACATAGAGTTATAGTAGAAACATGGGCTACTGAAGCTCTCATCCTCTAGAAATTGCAGGCATTACCAATATATTACATTAGGAAACGAATGTCTTCGAGTGAAAATGTTAATACTTTTATTTACTCTTGATAGGGTTCAATCGAACCTAAATATAGTTTTAGGAATGTGGATATAATATCCAAAAGATATTACAACATTTTTTTATTTTAATTAATATAAAGAAAAATGTTAAAAAATCATAATACCTATATTTAGGTACTACAGTACTTTTGTTTTTTAACATATGACATGGATCATTAAACGTTGTAGTTAATATTAAAGTTCCACTTAAAGATTAATTTATTAGTTTTTATATAAATTTAACAATTATTTATTACTATGCACTGTAATTATACACCAAACTAATTGAAAATTATTGTTCTAAATATCTAAGATAGGAATTAAAACTGAAAGTCTTATTTCTTTCTTTCTACTTGAAAGTACTCAAAAAGTATATTATTAAATAAATCAATAGGAATGCTTTTGGCACTCAAACTCTTCTAAGATACTTTTGATACATTAGATATACAGATACATTAGATTTAGTGGGGTTTAGTGGGGTCATTATATGAATCTGTGTTTTTAAAATCACCGTTTTTATCAAGAATTACACGTGTAATTATTACATAATTATATAATTTGAAATTTAATAACTTAAAGATTGTCACAAAATTGATTATTTTTATGGTTATTTCAAAAAATCCATTACTTAAAGTAACTGATAGTCATATTTATATCATCCGACACTAAGTTCTCCTATAGCATTGGCTACAATTTATTCAAATTTTATTATTCATAAAATCTGCGGCATATTAACGTCATTCCTAATGTAGCAAAACGTTATCGCTTAAAACAGTAAAGATATTTTACGATTATTACAACAAAAAGAAATCTATAGGTGGCACGAGCAAAAAGATACTTTTAACTATTTATTTTATTTTTATTATCTTTCAAACGCTTTAAGATTTTACAAAGATGCTTAGGCACATAGAAAATGAAGATTTGCATTACAGATACTCGCATTGAATATTTTTTGTTTATTTTTCATTTAGATAAATTATTTGCATCTTCATTGTGAAATATTGTAATTTGGCTTCAAGTATTTTAAGAAATAATAGATACAAAAACATTTTTTATTATTTCGCTTGAAATTTGTTTTTATATTTTTGTTTTGATCAACGTTTTCGTGAAGTTTTACCGGTTTGGCTTCGACTTCATATTGAGTGAGAAATGATAAAGTATCTTCTTTTATTTCTAATTTGGCACCGTACCTTATTAATGATCAGATACTTAAATTATTTTACGGCATTTGCTTTATATGCTTTAGATGCGCATATAGATTATATATTTGATTTATGCTGTTCCCACTGTAATAAAATAAGACAAAAATTCTCACTGATCAAAATGCAATGGAATTTTAATTTTAAATATTTACATGTGTATTTAATCAGTATGTTTTATTTAAAGGTTATAATTGTCACGAATACGGTATTATCAATAATTGAAGTATTACTTTTTATAGATAGAAGTTTTTAGTATACAACAATTTAACATTGAAACTACAAAAATAGTCTTTCAAACTTCGGTTAGAAAAAAATGCATAAAAACAATTAAAATTACCTCGTTTATTTCTTTTACCTTTATTTCCGGAATCTATGATTTTCAATAAACTTTATCTACTTCAATTTAATGAAAAATAGTACAATTAATTTTTACAACTGCCAAGTAGCTTAAGTGGAATGAATATCTTTTCAGTTTAATTAAAAAACTTTAGCAGTATTCTTATTCCAATCATACTATTGATGTAGTAATATTTTAATTATATTTTAATATAAACACCCATTAATTAACATAAGAACTAACTGAGAACTACTTTATTATTTGATGTATGAAAATGTTTGAGATGACAATTGGAAATCAAATTATATAAATCAACTAAAGATTCAAATATTATTCGTCTTTATAAACAACTATATAGACCCGAACTACTTAATGGTTGTGTATCTTATAACAATCCTGTTACATGTAACATACCTCCAGAAAACTTAAAACTAAACAGGATATTGTTTTGCGACGTATGCTTAAAGCATTAATTAAGATATACATAAGGACTTAAGAAACGAGAGAATGTAATAATACATCAAAGACAGCACGCTAAAATTGTTTGATTCTGTGGACGCTCAAACTAATGCGGAATTGCACTCTCTTAAAATAAATGCAATATATATTCCGTCAGGATACTTGCTATTACCACATTTCAATGGAACACTTATTACAATAGATCACCCAAATGACTAAAACTACTTTAAGTACTAATTTGCATCACATCAAACAAAGAATATGAAGAATATATATATTATGGACCGAGTTAAGTTATTACAGTAGTTTTAGTAAAATTCTTAGTAAGCCCTTCTTAGTAAGCTAAGTAATCGATATCTTTTTATTACCTAATTGTTTTTATATAGATTATTATATATTAGATTATTACTGACCAAACAGCCTCAAGTGTGTAAATGAGGAACGCGGTGAATTACAATTGAACGTACGACTGTATTCTCCCAATTATTAATACCCACAATCTGTAGTTTGAAAATATAATGAACTATATCTAAGTTAGGTTAAAAAAAATGCTGTGGATAATATCAGATATCTAAATTGATTTTAATTTCCCTTTTCGTTTTATCTTTCATACGCATATGTCTGATTATTACTCAAAGTTAATTTTCAACCTAAAAAATTTATAAAAATATTTTTTTTTTAAGGTAATATAAATGTACAATAAGCTCCATTCTAAATTTGAAATAGTACTTAATAAAGAGTAATATATCATTTGCTTGGAACTGATTTCAAGTGTATTTTCTGACAATTTATTGACATTTTCTCATATGGGACTAAAGCTTTTGTAATATAATGTTTTGAGAAATCAGTTAACAATTCTTTACAAAGTTTATATATTAATTAAACTAATAAAACTAATAATCTTATTACAAACTTAACTGTTTAATTCGGAAATACACTTGTTTCAAGAAAATGTTATTCAAAAATAACAAAACTAATAAAACGCTATATAATTTCAAAGGCAACTATAATTTGTATATTTATTTTAAAAATACCAAACATCTTACATGGTTTAAAAACTTAGAATATATCCGGATGTACATAAAACGAAACTTATACTCTAATTGCACAGAGGAAGGATTTCATCTCCCAATCAAGCTAATCAAAGCAAACATAATATATAGTAACTTGCCATACATTTGTGTCACAAAATAAACCCAAAAATAAATGACTGCCCGCAGGCTACCCACCTGGAACCACCTACCCACTTAGAACAATAAAACAGAATCAAAATAGTAAAAGTTAATGAATCTAAAAAGATGAAAACATTATTTCACAAAAGTGCTAGCGAAAAGCTCTAAAAACTGAAGAATCATTTACTTATTCATGAAAGAGAATAAAATCTTTTTAATTTAAACTTCTGATTTCGCTGGCTTCGTTTCATATCACAGAGAGTAATTAACTATCCGTTCCAATAAATTATTTATAGCAAAAATATTTATATAATTTCTTTTTTAATTACAACTTAATTTATTGTGTATTAGCCTTCCATATACTGTAGTTAGTCACGAATAAATTTAACCTAAACCTTCGCTTTGAACTTCACATTTAATAAACAATATATATATTTAATAAACAAAATCAATAAATATTATATACTAATTTCGTCATTCATAAATATTTTTGTTTTTATCGTTAATTTTAATTAAAATTTCAAACAAAATTTTATTAAAAATACAATTACAATTCCGAATGACAACATATTTTCTGCCTGTCATGGAGGTATGAGGAAGACTTTACACCTTATCAGCCCAATCAATATTTTGGGTACACAATCACGAACTAACTGTTTTAGGTGTAGTCGTACATAATGTATTTTTTCACTAATTAAAATAAAAAACTGATATGCAGGTACATCTACAGACTCAGTCTTAGACGCATATGAGCCTTTGTTTGTTAATTTTTTTTTTCAGTACAGTTCACAATAGTCTTTCGAAACAACAGGTTATCGATCATTAGTAGTGGGAAGCGCATTAAACGGCACATTCTTGCAATTCTTGTCAACATCTGTCGCCAGATAGGGGCGGCTGCACTTTAACCCGACTCATCTTCAGGTTGTTTAAGTCCCAAACTACGAAGCTTCAGCTTAAAGCACAAAAATGAAATCTCAAACTCACACAAAGCACCGCCAAGACCAGCACTGATACTGGCATAAGTTTTGTTTCGTTCGATGGTTAATGATGTTTTGAAAATTCTTCGCTTTTAAAATGTTTGTTTAATATTATTAACATTGTCAATTCAACGCAGAACATCGCTAGGTGTGTTTCTATAACCGCAGTAGCCGTCGCATTAGAAAAAGCATCAAGTGGCCATTCGCAAATATTGAATTTCTTTTTCATTGGCAAACTTCTCTTGCTTGAATAATTGCAAATTATTTCACTGCAATTGTTTAACAAAAAAATTAATTTTATAGCATAAAGTGTACTTGTATTTATTGAAGAATTCCAATTTTTGATTATCGTTACAAATAAAATTTAAAATGCATTTTACGCTTGTGTCGACTGTGAGTGTTGTAAGTGAAATCAATTCCAAAAAAAAAGTGATTCTTAGTAATTTTTTATTAAACTATAGTTTACAGTGTTTCTATTAGTACTAAGTGGATCCTTAACACAAACTGTGAAACCATACGAATTCGGATTTACAATTGAAGAACAGCAACATCGACATGAGAAACGAGGTAAGTCTTATCATATCATCTGACCTTCATCGAATAGATTAAATATTGATTTAAATAATATTTGTGTGAAAATACAAAATTATGATGATTTTGAGAATGATTTTGAATTGATTACATTGAACGACTAATTTTACACTTTTTTGCACGAGGCTAAATTAAATCATATCTGAAGTCTTTTGCCGAGTTTCAAAACTGATAGAAAAATCTATCGAACGGCTAATAATTATTAGCTAATCTAATTTTGCGTATCTTATATCAATTCAAAACAATCATTTGATAATATTAATTTTTTCTTATCTAAATCTTATCGAAGCATATGAGGTTAACTGCTTAAAAATTATAACTTCTAATGATATACTCTCATGGTTAGCCTACTGTATAAATATTTAAATGTATCTGCTAAGGACTACTCAATAAAAAATCTCTATAAATATTTATAACTTCAATGTCACTCAAAACGTAATTATTTAATTTTATGAATAATTATGCATATTACATACATATAATAAATACAATATTAGACTGTCAATTTATATGTTTAGAGATATGTTTTAAAACCATTTTTATTACACGTCATACGTATGATTTTTAAAAATTTCACTTTTAAGTTGACTATCTATATTTTGGCTTTTACAAAATATTACTATTGTTAATTAAGTTCAAAAATATATAAATTAAAAATAACAATATTTATTTAAACGACCTTCAACCGAATTTTGCTCTCTACCGAAGTAGACATACTGTGAAGTGAGCAAAGGAATTAAACGCCCCCATGCTTGATTATGGATTTAGATTAGAATGGATTACAATCATTAAGATGTTTCTTCCTCGTACGTCAGCAAGCATGAACTACAAGAGTTGCAATGGGGCAGATCCAGTTTCACATCTATATCCAATATTTCGCCTATTATTCTCAATGAATTCAATGAATTAAGTTTGATATTTTAGACTCACACTTTGACCCGTTTGCCATCACCATTGACTTATCTGCAACATAACAGATATCGTAACAAAAATTGTGATAACCACACATTTTTCTTCTCCTTCTCTGAGCCATAACCTTAACTATACTCATTAAGAGGGATATACATGCCGAAGGAATCGATAATGTTTTATTAATACAGCAGGAGTATTAGACAGTAAGAAACGATTAAGATCCAGATTTACATTGTTTAATCATTTTAAAGTTCTCTGATCATTCACTAATTTCCACGTAGTATTCCCTACACTAAGTGTAATAGACGTTATTTAGAGTCAATGCGTCACTTGTCGACACTTTCAGTATTATTCAGAGAAGTAAAACTAATCACGAAAATATAAATAATGACACATTAATGCATTGATATCTCTTTTAAGGATGTACAATAATCCTAAGACAAGCTTATAGATGTTGTAAACTTAAAATATATTCTTACAAAAGAAGTCATTTACAATGCAAGATGAATAGCAGTAACATACCCCGTAAGAAGACAGTGTAGTTCTTAAATATGTGGGACTTCGTGAAATATGAAAAAAAGTCAAGACAACAAATTATTTTGAAATAATGAAAGTCACCTAAACTCTTCGGTAATTTAATTGTTCATTACAAACGTTATAATAAACTTGATATACCATTCTGAAAAATGTGTAAAGGTGTCAGAAGTATATATGTTTTAATACTAATTTATAAATCATTTTAAAGCAGTTTGCATTACAAATTAACAATTTTCGTAATGTACTGGTCCAGGCTAGTGTTCTAAGACCTTTAAAGTGTGTGACGATACTTTATTTATTTGCAAATCACTCAACGGCATTGCAGATTCTTGTTTTAGATACGGATACTTGCTAATTTCTAGTTCTTTCATATGACAACTGAATTTTACTATTTTTAGTATTGATTGATGTCAATTTTTTTGTAATTACAATGAAATCGCATATGCTCACTCTTTCTATATTTACATTGAATTGATTTAATCAGTTACTTAAAAATGTTTAAATTAAAATTTTATTATTTTATTTACTTATTTGAACAAAACTTACTGCCTTAAGGCTAAAATGAATTGAAATTAAATTACAAAAGAATCTCCAAAGTTTATATTAAATACTTAGTTGATTATTAACAAATTAGCCAACCAAGATAAAATTTCGAAGCATATACAAACATTCAAAAGTATATAGCTACGGTAAAAGGCTAATAATTGCTGAAAACTCGATTCATAAATTTTACAGTCTGAACATTTAATGGACATCAACAAATTTTATATGAAAAACTCTTTTGGTCCAGTGATTTGCTGCGTTTGCGAGCTTTAAAAATTGCTAGGTTCATTGAGTTCATTGAAACATTTGGTGATGATGAAAAAAAGATTATTCAAATGATTAAGTGCATAGCATTTAGTTATTTCAAAAGAATATTCATTAAAAACTATTATAATCTATAATGTGTAAAGCCGGTGGGTGCAAAGGACCGGTTGTTGCATGAGTTACGACTATCTTGCATGCCAATATCTCTGATGTAGTTCTTGCACAACTCAAAGATACAAGTTACGTAAATGAAGTAAATGTTTCAAAATGTAAAGTTATTTTTATAATAGAAACCATTTATGAAAAAATTGAAAAACTCAAATGTATGAAAAAAATCTACCCAGTTTTGTATACTACTAATTTAGAATTGTACATGTTATTTTAGAATTTGATGAACTTTAAAAATTTCCTTAAAATAAATTAGCTTTAGTAATGCCCTCTAGCATATTCAAGAGCTATGATTATTTGGAAAAGTGATAACAAAGATTTTTAAGTACAAATAAATACAAATAGTACTTGATAATTAATAATTAATTACTTGGACAATTTTCATAAGCGAATATTAATCAACTTTTGTTCGCCAAACAGCCAACATTATAGACAAATGTTCAACAGAGTTCTCCATCCAAAATCAAGTTTTTTCAAATAATTTTTCGAAATTAGTTTTGATTCAAAAAATTTATCCATATAAAAAAACATAATGGCAGGTACAAGTGAGAATGAAAGACATCATGCAGATCGCCTATATACTGACTTTATTGCTGGCCGAATATATTTAACAAGCACCTACTGTTAAGTTTAAACATAGCTTATCAATTTACTCCTCCTACTAACAATATTTTGTAAAAATCAAAATCGGTTGGATAGTTTACGAGTACATTCATTACAATATATGTTACATATTGTATATATAATATATATTTAATATATATTTATATAATAATATACAATATATAAGTATAATTTATTATAAAATATAATACATATATTACATTATATATATTATATATACGAATGGATAAATAAATATATTTAAACCATAAAATATTAACCTATTTTCATCATTTGTTATGATCGCTACATGATCGAATCATTCCATTTTTAATGCTTGTCGACCTCATCTACATGAATTCATAAAAAGTCTCCGTCAAATCTTTCATTCAGATTATTTCAAAATTCGTGAGATTCATTTACCATCAAATGAAGACAAATGTCTATCTATCGTTAGATAGACAAACTAACTCAAATCAATTTGTCTTATACTGATTAAAATAATATATGGATTATATGGAGTGCAACCTATTAAACACATATGAACATAATTAATTAAAGAATCCTCAAGAATAAAATAAATTGATAGATTTAGATCAAATTTTTTATATATAACTTCATTAAATATTTGATTTTGACATATATATAGTTGATATGTATGTTATAATTACAACAACAGAGTCCCTAACAGAATAAGTCTTGGATCCCACTTAGGCCTGAGTTGCGTTGTGATACTAAGGAAATTTTTCTCACTATATTTATAAACATAACTTTTGAAAGCATTTTTTGTTTTTATACTGCAATATACATTATGTACTATATACAGCTATAATTAAAACACAGCATTTATTAATAAAGAATAAACTCATAAAGTTATCATTTATATATATATACATATTTAAAAAGATCAAAATTAACACTACCACTGAACGAAATACAAATAATTGTTAAAAACTAAAACTCATAAATTTTACTATTTTATTTAATGTTTATAAATTCAATAATTTTAATTATATTATTTTTAATTTAATCAAATGTTCATCAATTCAAAACTATCCTGAAATTTATATTCATACGGATTTTGATATTGAAAAGTGAAAGTGATTATCGTAGTTGTTTGTTTATATTGAGGTACAAAAGTATCTTATTAGCATATCAAGATATTGTCAAGTTGACAGTATTGTTTAGAACACTTCGTGATAAGCAGTTATGATAACTTTTAAAAATTTACATATACACAAAACCTTTCAGAAATATCAAATGCAGACCTGCAAATGATTATATGAGTAGGATGAATGACAGGTTGCTTATAGTGCATCTATTTGCATATAATGAGATCATTTCGCATCATTACGTCCATCACTTTAGTTATTGAAAAGGTTATGGTCATTTAGACCTTGAAAATGCTTAGCTCATTCTTATAGTCTTTAATTGGAATTTATGACAATAAACACATGTTATGAAAGAGACAAATATTAAAACAACATATTTAATAATTTATATTGAGGAAAGCAATCCACCAATTATTCTATCCATAAATCATTTGATTATTATTGCAAGGGTGTCATATATGATGACTTCAAATAACTAATTTGTAATTTGAAAAGTTGCTTTTTCCTGTTTTAAAATTGATTGATTTGATGTGAAATATTTCCGTTTTCTGTAAAAATTAATTACAAAAAAAATAAAAATAAAAATAATTAATAAATTTCTCTTTCATTATTTTATCACTTGTATTATGCATATAATTTATATAAATGATATTAATACCTTGGATTGTCATAACTTACCATATATTGAACTAAAAATGTTAGTAATGAAGTGATAAAGTTAATTGAAAATTATAATTTAAAGTAGTTAAATTAATTATTTTTCAATATATACTATAGTTTTCATAAATTTAAAAAGCTTATTGTTTATTGATAGTTCAAAATTTTAAATATAAAGAAAATATTTTTAACGTCATATGTGTTAATATATCTCTGAATTGCATGACCGTATAACTATCATCTAAAAAATTTAAATTAAAATAATTAATTAAAGTATATAGACAGATTCAGATGTCAAGCAACGTTGTGTTAACTAAATACTAACTAATTAATAAAAAAAAGAAAACCTAAATATTATTTTTGATTATCTGAAGAATTCCTCTAATTACACACATAATCTAAGAAATAGTAGGGATAGCATCTTATCAGTTTACAAACAGACAATGTCTCTTTCTTAACTAGATATTAGGTTAGGTTACGTCGTACCGGCATTTCAAAAGGATTTTTTTAGGCCTATATACCCGTTGTGTTAACTAAATACTAACTAATTAATAAAAAAAAGGAAAACCTAAATATTATTTTTGATAATCCATAATAATACACTTTCTTAAACCCAAGCATATTTTTGAAGCACTGAAGAAGAACCGAAAGATGACGTAAGTCTAATTTATGCTTAGACCATGGTGTTAAAAGTAAAACTATTATAAATTGCGCTGGTTCTAGTTTACATTATAATAGTTCTATAGAGATTTTCTGATATTTCTTGCTATACTATACAATCTATGTTCTTATAATAACGATTTCATAAATGGAAGATCTTTTGTTCTGGCATTTACAATTCTATGGCAACGAATTTTAAATGGTTTAAGAGTTTGAGCTGATAACTACAACTACATTAGCTCAAAAACATTTCTCGAACATCCTGTGGATCACTGAGTCAAATAAAAGAGGTTGTATAGTGATTGATTATAAAACTTAAAAAAATTACTAAGAAATTATTATTAAACTTATTACTAGTATTATAAAAATGCAACAAAATAATTTAAATTTTTTTGTTACTAACGCTACGAACCAGTAACAGATTTATGTGGTATAATAAATGGCCATTTGGGATTTATGATTTAAAGAATTAAAAGAATGATGTATTCTTATGAAGACTTATGACTTATAAGGTTTTTTTGAGCAACCTTAACAGAGATTTCTTTGAAACTTTAAAGATATTTCTACTTCTCTGAGAAGGTTAATCGATTTTGTACTTAAGTTGTTAATTATGGTTCATATATAAACGTATTCACACATAGATATCAAGATAGCTTTAAGATTCTATGAAGTTAGTAAAGTTGGACTAATTGATGTTGAAGTCCATTAAAAACCGCTTAGATTCTCTGCAATACCAGTTGGAAATATTGTTAGAAAATCAGAAAACTATTGGAAGATACTTACATATGGATGGTCTAAGCTTTATGGTTATAAATAACCTTCCAATCTAGTCCAAAGTTCTTACACAAACACTTCTGTGTAGCATCTAGTCTTCGAGAGATGATAACAATTGATAATAATTTTATGTTTTTAAATTATTATTTATATAGAAACCAAATAAGGTCATTACACCTGACTGGCTAGCCATAACTTAAAAGCAAACTTTAATTTCAATGACGTGATAGTACTAATGGTTATATTGCCAAAATATGCTAAAATATAAATTCTATGAATTTATACTGATGTTCAAAATATTAATATATTTGTTATTAAAACTAAGTAAGTAAATATGGTAATTAATATACATAAATAAAATTTTTATTTTTTTCGTCATTAAAATATTTTCTAATATTATTTTTTATGGATCTTCCTACACATGTTTTGTACAATCATTAATCGATTTTACATATCATGTTACTTAAACGATAACAGTTCCATTGATTGAGGTATCTTATTACGTTTAAATACTAGTTTGTAAGATAACATCTAATTTTATTACCCGTGTTATTTGCAAACAGTTTAACAGGTTCTATAAAACAGAGATTTGATGTTGTATTAAAATAAAACTATTGCTTATAAAAAAACACTAAACTGCCTCTAATGTGTAAACGAATTTTAATATAGATCAAAACTAGATACTGGCAAATCAATTCTTATCAGAATTTAAACGTGGGCTATCATAATCGAAATAGATCTTGACCATAAATAAAATTTATTTACATAAATAAATCATATACATTTCATATACTTGCCAAACAATGTTCGAATAAATGAATTATTTATACGAAATCGTTCTTACTGATTTTAAATGATAATAAACATCATCAAATTTAATATTAATGAATTTTGGAAATGTTATGGCTACATTATGGCTACAAGTCAATAAAACAATGGACTGTGAATGGTTATAGAATTGTTTGTTTGGCTTCCATAGTACCAAGTAGCTTTCCGACGCCAACAAAAAAACAGACGATTTACTCCTGTTAATCCAGTTTAATACGCAAATTTAGAACATACCAAACAAATGAAAATTTAAATAAAAAAATACTAAGTATAAATTATAATAATAAAAAAATCATTAAATTGTTAATATGCAAAAGTGTATTAAAAATTAAATATAAAATTTCTGGTTTCTTTGAAAAGACGAGCGTGGCATTGTGATGGGCGAATTTGGCTTCATAACGGCCGATGGCATTTACCATGTGACGGTGTATGCAACTGATGAGGAGGGAAAGTTTCGTATATTAGCTATGAGAAACTATCCATATGAATCGCCACCTAGTAAGTACACAATGAAAATTATATTTCAAATATTTATAATACATTTTATATTTTGCAGAAACTGTTGATATGGTTGTAGTACCCAAGCAATCTCCAATAACAACAACCACACCAAAGCCATTACCGAAACATAACTTCTATCAAGAAGCTTGTTCAGGCTGTTTCTTGAAAAATGGCAATGGCAAACAACCAGCAACCCAGGATGCAAATAAAAAGACTGAAATACGTCCATTATCAAAACCGATTTCAACACTCACACCGCCAAACAAACCACTAACGAAACTTGTCACGAATATGATTATGAATACAAATTTAGGTAAAATTTATACAATTAAAACAGATAGCAATGAGAAAGACTTTAAAGAAAAAGATATCATCGAGAGTGTAGCAACACAAACAGCAAACAAAGTACCAATTAAGGAAACTATAACAAACAATCTTAATATAGTTGAAACATTTAAAACACATAAGGATATACCCAACACAATACTGCCCAATAGAATTAAGACACAACAAAATATAGCACAAACCATAAACAATATACAGTACAAAACATCTGGTGAAGTCAAGACACCAACAACACAACAAACTCCAAAACTTAGTACAGCAACAGAACATAGTCCTAACACATATGTAGTATATAAACCCAACAGCAACATAAAACCTAATTTACACATCACACCGAAACAAATTATTACAAATCAAGTCGATTATACACCAACACTTACTGGCATTAAAACTCCACAACAAACCAATTCTGCCTCAGAACAAATAGGCCCCGCAGATTTAACAACAACTATTCACACAATACACGCTCCTCAAAGCACGGAGCTTAATAAAGATATTGCCAGTATAAAGCCATTTACATCGAGAACCAATAAACCAAGTGCTATATCACAAACTACTAATACGGCAGCAAAGTCAAGGTCAAGTAAACCAACGAGTTTAAAGGATCAAACATCATCGAAAACAATTACACCTACACAATCTATCGAACGACTAAATAAAAAAGTTCCAAAAGACTCAATTAATAAAAGTAGTGCAGAAAATTTATTGGTTCATCCCGAGAGTATTGAGTCAGCTATAAAGAAATCAACTTCGAACGAAGATAAAAACTATCAAATTCAAATTTCATCACAGCTTGGAAAAGACATAAGCAATATTCGAAATGATGTTACAAAGTACACAAAAAATACACAAAATATTCATTCAACCAATAAAAACACACAAAACAAAGCTGATACTTCATATGGTGTAGACAGTAGTACACCAATTGGTGCAGATAAGAAATCTAAAATTGAAATTTTACCTCAATCACACTTAACACAACATAATGTTGCTACTACAAAATGTGAAACACAATTAAATCTCCCAAATCTCAAAACACAAACACTACCAATTACTCCAACAACACAAGAATTTAAACAAGGTACACCTTTATTAACTACAACAACAAAAACAATTAGCAATAAAAATAATAGAAATCCTAGTCATATGAAAAACATCGCTGCAACAGTTGTCGATACAGTAACAACCATTGCAACACCAATTAAGTATGAAGTCACTAAAAAAACTGTTAATACTAAACCAAAAAGTGTCACACCCACTTACACAACACAAGCAACACAAGAGAACACTGTAGCACATAGTACAGGAAAGTCAAGCAAGACAAGTAAGATTATACCGAAAACATTGTTGATAACCATTTTGTGTGTCACCACCATTTTCGTTACCACCGTTGTTTTCGAACAGTCTCATAAACACCAAAAGTAATCAAACGCAAGGTATAGGAAAAATTTCTCATCTACGTCGTTTAATCTCCTTATAGACATTCTTTTTATTCTGTCGAAAACCTGGTTCGAAAACCTGGTTGGTTCGAAAACCTTCTGATTTTTATATATAACTTCTGTGTGTAAACTACGTGGTTCATATGAGGGAAACTAAACTGTAATATATATTTATTTTTGTTTTAATTTTTGAGTCGTTACTTCGAAAATGTTTAAATGCGGTTATTTTTGTTTTTTAAAATATACTAACTTTTATTTCGAAAGTTTTTTTTATTAGGAATATTAGGAATTCTCCTGAAGAAGGCAAAAGCGAATTTGCCGAAACACGTGTAGAGAGACACAAAAAAAAAAAAACTTTCGAAATAAAAGTTAGTATATTTTAAAAAACAAAAATAACCGCATTTTGTAATATATATCTTTCCTTTTCTTAATAGGAATCAAAAAATATCGAAGATCTCTTCACGAAATGAAAACTAACCTGACTCCATCTTTGTTACTATGATCGAATAAATGAGAAAATTGTCTTCAATCCCCTTATTTCCTCACAAGTAAGAAACTATATACAAAAATGTGGTTTCAATTAATTTCGATAGAATTTTTTGAAATTTCAAAAAGAGCGTTTAGCGGTTTATTATACTGATAAGTGTGTTAAAAGCACAAGGATGTAAAGCTTCAGCGGCAGCTAATCCTGTTTAAAAACTGTTGAGTCTGTATTATACTGTTTACTCTTTGAGATAGAGGCTAGAATATTATCTACACTATAAAAAACATGCCTATCGTAAAACGGGAATAAAATCTCGTACACAAATGTAACTTCTTTTGCTGACTGAGGAATTTTTCCCAATGAAGCGTTTATCAACGCATTATCTTGTTACGTGGTTAGAACAAAGCTATATTATATATTATATATAAAGCTATATTTCGTTTTTATTATATTTTCCGATGTATATTTGGTTTAGTTTATTGCTTGTGTAAGAGTCTAGTGATGCAAACAGTCACTTAATGAACAAATAGTCTTGATAACGATGTCGTCAATGAGAATATGGCCAACTGGGAATATGTGATAAGTAGGCGATAAGGTTAAACAACATTTAATGTCTTTAATAAACATATTCACACTTAAAATAATCTTAACCCCATTTAAAAAGCATCTGTACATTTCATTATTCTGACTTAAACTATTCAATAACATTTAATTTTATCATTTCTTTCTATTCCCAAAAATGTGCTTATAATATAAAAATTATAGGTGATTTGTTAAATTCTGCTATAACTAAGACACAAACCGGTAGCCAAGTGGGTACAAAAACATTCACACCATTAAATGGTAATTATAGCAAAATAAGAATCTATATTTACTAAAAGCTGTCTTTTGCACAGGACCTTCTACATTAAACGCAGCAAGGACACCAACTGGCAGTGCGCCACCTGGCGCAAATATCCCACCGTTAAAGACTGCAGCTAAGCAACCAAACGGTAAATAAGTCAAAATTATAGCAAAATTATTTACGTAACACATTTATTTCAGCACCAAGCAATGCCATAACTTTCCCACAAAACTCAATCGGATCAACAGGTAGTCAATCACAGAGTGGGGTGAATCCTAAATTCGATCTAAGGGTAGGTAATAGTGCTATTGGTGGTGGGATTGCTGGTGGTAGTGCTGGTGAAGTTGGTGACTTGTACCGTTTCAAATACATACTCGACTACAATGGGCACACGGAAACCGGTTCACGAAACGGCAATAAGGAAGGCAACTATTTTTCTATTGGTGATGATGATATTTTGCGTACCATCGAATATGTGGCCAACGAAAATGGTTACCAACCACGTATCCGCTGGCGAAAATTAGACACGAAAGTCCAATCGAAAGAAAATACATTAAAGGATTATGAATTTGTGTGGTTTAAAAATAACTAAAAATTGCGAACAGTTAGTAGTTAAGCTGTTAATATAATAATTTATTATTTTTTTTTGTTTTTCATATTCTGTAATATTCTTGTTTTACTTTTAAATAAAACCAATTTTTTATTTCAATTTGGAATTTTTTTTATTTAATTATTTTCATCATTTTTATTTTGTTGTTCATGCTAATTTTCTTACGGAGTTTGTGTTTTAAAATATTTAATTATTTGTATATATAATCTTAGTTATTATTATATTAAATTTTTTACACATCAAGATTTGTTAAAAATTTATAAATACACTTAAAAACTTTAATATTGTAGTTGTGAAACAGTAAGAGATTATTAAATCGAAATTAATGTCAATGTTAAGAAACTTTTACATTCAGAAACTTCAATATTTTACACTTGCCGTCTTTTTATATTGAGTATTTGATATTAATTTATTTATTTATTTATAATTTAATTTTTGCCTTTTCTTATATGCAATTAATACTTAAATTCTGTTAGGGAATTTTTATCTTAAATTATTTTGTTTATATTATAAACAATTATAATTCCTTTATAACTTTGAATTTTTTATAAATTAATATTATTATTTTTACAGAGTATCCTATTTAAATATATTTAAATTAAATACTTAACAATTTATATACTTAAATATACTAAATTTTCTTTTCTTTTTTATTATGTAAATAAAACAAATTTAAAATATTTTTAACTGTACATTCATCTATCACAGTCCTCCGGTTTAAGAAAACGTTTAAGATTAATACTAAAAACTCAGACAAAGTAATAAAATAGTTTCCATTAACATTAAAATTATTAAACATATATGATACTATAACACAAGATGGGTCTGCTTTTTACAAGATAATGTATTAGAATTTAGAATAGGGGTACCGAGTTTAGTTAGGTTATGCTGGAACGACAACTTACTTCAGGTGCACAAAGCCTACCTGAGTTCGAACATTGTCTTAAAAGTTAATTTCTTTTAAACGTATTTTATAACATCGGTGAATGTTATTATCAACTGGTTCCGGTTTTCTTAAAAATGAGTAAGAAAGTAATTACATCGATGCTCTTAAAAATTGTATCTTATAGGTATTTCTATACCATTAATTTTAACTTTTACAAGATTTTAACTGCTTTAAAAAAGTAGTTATCTTACTAAAAGCCAGCGTTTATACTTGCTGGACTTTGGTAAGATTCCCATTTTTTCACTAACAGATGCAAATTTTTGTTTGCAAGCAAAATTCGAAAATAATTTGTAGTTCGAACATAAAAATTTTGTTAAAGTCTAGACAATGTAAACGCATGGTAAACTGAACTACAAATTCAGACAAGAAGCAAAGTGCATCAGTAGTTATGTAGGAGACGATATGAGTAAATGAATAGAGTTTTGGAAAATAGATATGTACGTACCTATATATAGAAAGGAAGTGAACTTTATTCAAAAGAATGCAGTTAAAGCAGTTAAATATTACTTAAAAAAATATGACTATTGTTAAATTAACTTAAACCTATTAAATAAATTGGTATGGAAATAAGTAAAGTTTATAGTAAGATGTGTTGTATTTAGTGTGACTTAAAACTGTCCACAGATAAAATAGAGTAAAGGTGCTGTTTCACCAACTCAGACATCTGAATATCAATATATATGTGTTGTTATAGTGAAATAAAAAATAAATTCGTTTTTAATGAATGTCAGAATTATGTAAAATTCATTATATATTATAATCTAACAAAAACTGTTTACATAAAAAGCCAGCTTCCTTGAATTGTCTATTTGTTGCTCTCTTAAACGATTAATTATAAAAATTAGCTGATAAAATTTTTATATTTTAATCTATATTCATGTTTATTTATCCCTTCCAATAGTTATCTTCTTCGTAAGGACTCTCAACAATACAATAATTTTTATCAACATAGCGTTCTTCCTATCTTTAGTGATAAAGTTATTAATATCTCTTTAAGTGAATGTCCTTAATACCAACTCCTTTGCAATTGAAATTACAGTAATTTTTTATTGATGATTTATGTTATGATTTAGTTAAAAATTTAAATACATACATGTACCTACATATACATAATAATAACATATATATAATTATATATATGTATTTTATACAGTTTAAAAGAACTTACTTTATATGAAGAAAGAAAACTGGGGTCTACTAAAGACCTTAAACCATAATAAGACATGTCAGTTTATATGATTGTTTATTGAACAATGCGATCACCATATATGATTGTCGAACAAATTAGAAAAAACTTGACATTTATTGAAGCTAGGCAATTCTCTGTAACAGCAATTTAAAGTCCTCCAAACAAAACCATTTCTCATCCAGGCAAAGGAAAAATCATATCAGCTGTATATATAATATAAAGTACAGTGAGCTTTGGCGATTTCATCTGATTATTTTACAAATTTAAATTATTACTTAAATAAGTTGGGTTCTGCTGAGATCTATTGATTTTTTGTAATTAACATCAAAAGCTCGGACTAAATTGTACGTATACATTAAATGATATTATTATGTCACCATATAAACTCAAGAACAACAAACCCCAAACTGTGCATATTGATATCTAATAATAATGATAAAATAATAAAAATGGTAAACTAATCATTTTTATAAAGTTTATAATTAAACCTCTTGTATTAATTTCATACACATATTCGATATATTAGAATCTATTTTTTTAACTAATCTTGAATTGTTGAAAGATTTCCGTATTAATTGTATTGATTACATATTGAATTTATTTAAAATAATAATTTAAAATTTGAATATTAATTTTAGTGAGTTTCTGTTATCACTTCTTTAAATAAATTAAACTTATAAATTAAATTTAGAATAAATTATTTTATACCAATAAAATAGTAATACAATGAAATCACAAAAAATATTAAATCTATATATTCAATAATATACAAATAACTATTTACAGCTATTTTCTAATTTTAAAATTTGTATATAATTAAACACAGACACATACAATAGCATAAACACTTTGGTTTAAGTTGATATAATTTTGTTGTTATATCTTACTAAAATCCCCGTGAAGGATTTCTAAAGGAGTTATTGCTAAAAATACACATTGACTTATGCAGCTTTCAAATTTACATCAATATTTTTTGCTGCTAATCTATAAACGATATTATCTTTAGGAATGTCTTAGGTCCTATACCAGAGAAGCATACGTACATAAAATTTCGATGACAGTTTTTGAACTGAACTGTCATTATAATGTACTCATATGCCTTACTTTGATTTACATATATGTATATAACGGGTTTATACCTGTTTTGAACTTCATTTGCGTTCCAAATATATCGTCATAATTTTTATCTATTAAATACTATTTTTACAATAATTTTAGATTTCTTAATATTTTTTTTAATGTACATAAACACTCACATCTATTCGATTAACGAATATTTACAAAATATTTATATTTATATATATATTAATTTATTTTAACTGAGAGTCTAGCTCATTTACAAACGGTGTACAAGGGTGTGGGGCTTTACTTATTTTATCTACGACTAGAAATTTTAAAATTTATTATTTAAAATTTGTTACTTATTTTAATTTTAATAACAACATTGAAAATTCGTTAGTATCGTTTTAAATGTTATAAAAAGATTTGCTTGTATGCAATATTAAAATTCAGGGTAAGTCTGTGATATACACATTATTCAATCGATTTACTATTGTTCTGATATAACTTTGGTTTCCTTCGCTTATTTATTTCACACAGAATGTATCTTATGCTATACCTAGCATTGCATTAGAACTTTTTACAGCAATTTAAAACAAGAGTACATAAGTTTAGATACATAAAAGGATTTAGATGTCTGTATTTTGTGTATCCACAACTTCTGTAAATACTCCATAATTTCGAAGTAAACTGCTTGGTAATGGCTTAGTTATCTTTTCGGCTTCAATAAAATGGGGTGGCTCTAATGTTGTGGCTGTTATTGTTGCCGTTCTGGCTTTGATTATTGTTGGTGGTTTCGTTGAAATAATATTGTTGTTGCTGCTGCATTAATTGTTGCTGTTGTAGTTCTAATTGTTGTTGTAATAATGTCGAAGGTGGTATTGTAGTTATAACAGGCGGTGGAGTAATTGCAGGTGTTGTTGTGTGTACAGTGGGCGAAATCGATGTATTCATTGCCGATATGCCGAACTTGTCAAAATGGCATCATTTCAATATTGTCGGTAATCCTGCTGTATTCATTAGACGATTACCAACAACAAGTGAATTAATATTGCCACCACCGACTCCCACACTTAACCCACTTATGCCACCAAAACCACTGCTAGCGCCAACGCTATGCGTTGGGGTTGCTGTTAATGTCGCCGTGGCTATGTTCAAATGATGATGATTACTAACTGCTGCGCCACTGCCGCCATTGGAGTTACTGCTCCCGCCACCGCTGCCAATACCGCCATTGTGGTTGCTAACGCCATTTACGCTTGGCGATGTGGTTAAATTATGCAAAGTAACAGCGTTTATGGCGGCTGCCGCTGCAACACTACTGCTGCTGCTGCTTAGGTTGTTATTGACATTGCTGTGTGTGTGAGCATGAACACCAGTACTGCCACCGACAATGGCGTTGCTTTCATATTAGAAGCCACCGCCGGACGATGATGGTCATGCATAGTGTGGGTATGAGCTCAAATGTGGTGCAACATGTGATGGTGTTACATGACCCATCGAGTGTGGTTGATAGAGGTTTGTAGCCGGATTGCCCCAATTGCCCCATGAAGCAGCTGAAGGAAATATTGACGCTGTTGAAAGAAATAAAAATTAAATTAGTAAGAAGGCATTAAAAAGTTACCAAAAAAAAAAAATACCTGATGACGATGTCATACCGTGATGTGGACTCATGAATGAGCTCAGTTTTGCGCTATGATGATATGGTGTCATAAATAAATCACTTTGGTATTTGTAGGTGGGATCACTGGCGGCTGGCTGCGTAGCTGCAGCTAAACCTTGAAAATCAAATTTGTAAGCATAACGTTTGCCATGCACTTTTGTCATAATATTTTTGTCGTAATAATATCTGAAAAAAAAAATTATTTTTATAAATATTTACAGACCTACAAAATTTTATTAAAAAGTGCATTATGCAATCTGATAATATAACTAGTTTTTCTGAAACCACCACAGTGGAATATTTGTCAAGAACCATTAATATTGAATTTTGTATTAAATATATATTTTTAAAACCACTATTTTTAATCACAAATAAAACAAAACTAAAGATGTCTAATGAAAGTATTAATATTCTGTGATGTCTTAATGTATATCCAATAACTAAGTGTCTTCCATAAACTTTATTTTTCTGGAATCTTAATTGTTAAAAACATATGAATACAAAATATATGTATATGTACGGTATATATATATATGAATGTATTATATATAAATTTTTTGAGCAATCATAAATTTTGTAGCAAATATAATGAATCAAAAAGTGATGTATGGAAAGCAATTAAGTTCCATAGACTTAATTATTTAACGAACTGACTTCATCCCTTCTATCCCTTCGTTCATTAATGAAATGAGCAAATATTTACAGAGGATGGAAGTAACGTTGATTTGGTGTTATATTTAATGTTATTTGTATTTTAATGTAAATGGGTGAACCCAGTGAGAATTGTAAACACATAAAACTAACAAATAAATAATTACAAAATAATGAACGCATAAACCATATTAAGCCAATTTTCATACAAATGACTTGAACGTTATTATTTTATTAGCAATTTTATGGCCACTGCTACAAATGTCTTTTGTTTTGATGTAAATATATTACCAATGTCTTTTAGAAATTAATTAATTGGGTTTCAAAAGAAACTAAGTATATATTAGTTATATGATATATGTATATTATATTCAGATACAATTTAAACTACAGCAAGCTTAAGTGATATTTTTTTAATATATATCACATATTTTTTGAAATGAAGAAATAGTAAAGAATTACTGTCACACGAATCACATAGAAAGATATTGAAATGCTACATATTTACACAAGATGTCAATGAGTATCTAAAAAAGTTAGAAAGTTTCTTTTTATGTAAAGACATGCAATTTCAAACCAATCTGTTGTCTTTGTGATGTGTCCTATGCTGGGTTTTATATCCTATCACTACTTCAAACTTGTGTCAACCGGGACAAACACCTTAGCTTTTCATGGTCTGCATATAAAAAAACAAATCTATATTTTTATTTATTGCTAACTTTACTCTAACAAGTTTATTACAATTTGAAATATTGATGTCATAATTCAAAGAAGGCTGATCCTTTTTATTAATGGTGCTATCGGAATCGAATGTTTCTATTTTTAAATAATGGAAACAAAAATATTAACATATCTAAAAGATTCAAAAGATGCTTATACTTCATATGTTAATATTATGATATTACATTTTTAATTTTTTTTCTTAGTTAGAATTGTCTTATAATCTTAACTTGCAAGTGTTTTATATTTTAATTGTTTAGAAAATAATTTGCTACATAACTAAAAGCACTGATGTATAGTGAAAAATTTTAGTGTACTAATTGAATATAAAAAATTTTGTTATTATTATATTTTATATATAGTTCCTTTCAAAGAACATAAAAATAGAAAGAATACAATTAATATTAACAATAATAATATTGCATTGACGTTCCTAGTATACAAACCAAACAAGATCCTTGTAACGACCCCCGTTCTGTACATTATTCCATATTGCTTTAATGTAGAGTTTTACGATGATTAATCGCACCTAAATTTAACTCGATCGATCCAGATGAGTGCTACTTTGTGAAATCCACCGCCGTAGCATTTTGGCTATGTAATTATCTTTTTTACTGGCTTCCTGCTTCTTCTATAAACTATGAAAAGCACTTTGAGCTTTTTGATATGTGCCGAAAATTTGATTTCAGCGCTTCTGTCTTTATTTATCATAGCCCAAATATCTTCAATTAATTATTTAGTTATTAGCCGCTTTACGTAGAGGTTGGTTAATTAGGAAAAATTTATACATATATCAAGACGAATATTTTATGTAAATAACAACCCTGCGTTCCCCAGCAACGTTTCTTACTTGGTGCTATCGATTGCGACTGATTTTAAAGACTTAATCATTAAATGTAAATCTTTTGACACATCAAGTACAGTACAAAAATCATTTAATTGTTCAACAAAACAAAAAAACCAATACAAAATAAACGAATGAAGTGAAGTATAAAGTATAGCAAATGAAAGTATTTCAACTTTTCGATTCTATGCAATACACAGAATGGATTCAAAAGACTGACAAACTGGCGGAGCTGAACAAATGAACGAAAATGAAACGAACGATTGATAAATTTTTTGTGTGGAACTTCAAGTGGAAGGAGAACTACTTCCGGTTGAACTGAATGAAAAATGTGGCATGAAAGCACAAAAAACAAATGGAATGAACGAAGTCAATAGGAACAAAAATCATGAAAAATCATCCAAGAGAAATTTTCCATTTTTCAACAGTGTTCAATATTTATTTATTTTATTTTTTAAATTGTTTTCATTTTATTTTTTTATTTCCATTCGTCCAATGCAATTGGCACGAATTTAATTTGACAGCAACAATAATTTTGTTTGCAATTTATTTCTCTTTTATTTTTATGCTCAGTTTTGCTTTATTTGCGTTTTTTATACGTCGCAAAAGTTGATAAGCGTCCATTTTAATTTAAAACTTTTATACGGCCATTTTGTTTTTTGTTTTAATAATACAAAAGCTACAACAATTAATGTCGTTGCCGTATTGCTCCGCTTTTCAAATGTGGTTTCCATCTATAGAAAACATTTTATTAAAACTGTTTAAAAATGTCTGTAATTAGGGACTTATTGTGAATTCTGTTATCGATGTTTATACGTTTTAAAATCAAATGATTATTGTAATATTTGTACTTTAAACTCGAATTTATTATTTAAAATTTTATAATAGGATAAAAGTTACTTTATAAGACAGCATAAAATGGGTATGGATGTAACTATGACATCAAGTAAAGATAAACTAAATTCGTAATAATCGTAATAATTTCCAGTAAGAATATTTCATATGATAACGATACTTCGCTAAGAAAGATAAGGCTCTTTCAAATTTTTTATCAACTTTAAGCATATTTTTTGAATTAAATGAGTTAATAAATAAATTAACTCTTCTATAAATCTACACAGATACCATTGCAATACCATCTATTAATACAAAACGAACTAAGAAATACATATATATTCATAAATGGACGAACTTGCTAATAGCGTTTTCCTAAATGTTAACAAAGAAATCTAACTAACTATCATGATCACTACAAGTTTAAGCTATTTATTTATAAAACATTTACGAATAATTACATGTAAAAACTAATTCCAAAAAGACCACAGATAATGAGTTTTTCACAATACTCGAAACTGCTATATGGTCAACCAAAAACTCTATTACAAATAAAATTTTCTAAAACCTTCACAATACTCGAAACTGCTATATGATCAACCAAAAACTCTATTAAAAATAAAATTTTCTAAAATCTTTCTATTGAGAGCAATAGTTTAGTTAAGAAAATAATTTCTGTCGTCATAACTGACATTAAAAACTTAACTAAATCGTTCAAAGAAAAGGAAAAATTATAAAATAAACTTACAGCACACCCTTTCCTTCAATTATTGCTATAAGTCCCTTCTAGAAATCAATCAATATTGACCCATTTTAACTGTTGAAAGAATTACATCAAATATTTAAGCTTATCATGTCAATAAATATTTTTCCCGGAATATGTAAAGAAAATAAAAACAAATGACCAAATCAAACATAACCTCAACAATGCGATAGAAGTAAATAAAAGGATTAGAGTGAGACGTTTAGTGGCTCCAGCAAATGTCCATTGTTAACAAGCTGGCAAATATTTTTGCTACTTACAAGCAAAATACACACATGAATAAGCAATTCAAATGAAGCATTAAGAAAAACAACACAAACAACCCAATTCCAAAGCGTTTTACATCCCTAACAGGGTTGCCCTGTTGAAAGTGTTAATTTCACATATGCAAACCCAAATATTCGACTAAAGACAGACACGTATGCATGAGCATGTCTCTTATTAATACACTCTAAAGCTCAGATTTCTTTTTAAATATAAGAGCAATCAGAGTAAAGTAAAAGCGTCTATCATATGAAAACACATACACATGCAGACACAAGTCAAATTGACTAACGACGACAAAAATGAAGATTGCTAAATCAACAACAAAGGCGTCAACCGCAGCCAAAGTGCCAGTAGCAGAGCAGTTGTAGCATCATTAGGAGTATGCTAAAGACACATTAGTGCGCTTCTTTCGTGTCATTGTACATCAAAGTAAAGTGTTGACAATCAACAGCAACAACAATAACAATTACTGTTGCTTGTTAACACTTTTTTTTTGGTACAATAAAGCAACACAAATAAGTACAAAATGAAATCAAAGCATCGAAATTGGCTTAAAATCCTTTTTTCAGGACTTTTTCTACTTGAATTGGCAGCAGAGATACAAATTTCTAAGTGTTGAAAAAGTCCTTTACGTATCTGCACATGAACACATCACGCATACCAAAGTGTACAAGTGTGCTTATGTCGGAGCTACTGATTGCAAATGGCAGATGAATTGAAAGGACTTAACACTTTCAGTTAAAGGGGTAATTCTCAACGTTTTATTTGTAGTATTTTTATATCATCTTTTTTAAAGAAATTGTCCTTTTTTCCAAGCAAATTTTATGTACACAGCAAATTGGCCGTGTTTTAAGCTTATTTAGATATATCTTCACTCTGGATGCTGTCATATTAGCAAATAAACGCACTGAAGACATAAAGCATATGTGTGCAAATACGTTCTGGTTCATTTTTTTCATCAATTCCAATATTGATCTAATAGTTAAAATTAAGAAATATATTTATCTGTTATGTAATATGAACACATAGGAATGATATTATCTTTATTTTTGTTAAAGACTTTCAGTACTCTACGCTTATTTAGTAAAAGACTTAACAGTATCCATGTATCTGTACTCAAGTTGCCGCGTTCTTTCAAGAAAAAATCCAATACTTTAATTGGAGAACCCCGTAAGATATCAGTCTTGTAGTAGGTCTATTGATTGGTCATAGTTGATTATGGAACTATGCTAGGAGACAGCGGTGCATATATTGTGCCAATGTCCAGCACTGGCAAGTAGGAGGAAAACTGTCTTGGGACACCATTGGGTTGGTGACGACTTGGCAGGAAACCTCAAGCTAAATGAACTGCTTGCATTAACAAAAGATGTAGTTATGCGAACGGAAGCCACTCCAGCTTTAACTCAATAACAACATCCGAGAATCGAAGGACGAAAAAGGACCCAAGTCGTTTCGTGGTCTACTTCGACTAATCCTTCACTTCAGTGGGGCCACTTGTTGGACAGTGCGCTGTCCCAACGTCCCACCATATATAGGAACAGAATTTCCCGTTTAAACATTCCTGTTGCAGTTGTGGAGAGGAAGATGAAAATGCCTCACATCTTCTTTGCTAGGGGTTTCCTTTTTGAGGATCTTGACCAACTTCAGAACCCGCATCTGAAGTGCATTTTAAGCATTAAAGCCTTTATACGGTAACATAATGAACACTATGAATTTAATCAAAAATAATTGAAGAGAAGATTTGAAAATGTCGACATATATAAAGTCCACTTTAAAACTTTGATTGGATAAGTAAAATTCAAAATTTTATTATGTAAAAAAATTTTGTTTTTTCGGAGACAAAAATATCAATAAACCCTATTCTATTATCAGGAAAATGTATACCCTTGTTTGCAAATTTGTGATTTTAATGGAATGTCATTGTTACTCATATGACAATACCCATTGGGCATCTTACTAATCCTATGAGGAGATAATTGACAACTTAATTTTCTTACTGTTATCTCAATAATTAAGAATGATGTGATGCAAATGATGAATGATGTCATCCTTCACTTATTTTTTAGGGAATTCATTAGGAATTCAATTTTGTTCACATTATATCTGTAGTTGAGAATAGTGTGATAGATATGATAGACCTGTCCGTAGAAGTAAGCTATCATTGTTGTACATTACTATCTCAGAGGCCTTATTACTAGCTATTACTTTGGCACATTATTTTAGAAAATTTTTAAATAATCTGGTGAACCCAACCTATGTAGCTAGTTAAATATGTTCAGGAAAATTTCTTTTCAGGTTTTCCACTACTCTGCTATATGGTCTTTCATTGTGTTGAATGGTTTGAATTTCATACCTGTTATTGAATATTTTCGTTGTATGGATGTATCAGTAATTGCTATATAACGTTGATGATATTAATAATATCTATTTTTATCTTCTGATAATGGTTTATATAACTTTGACCGTCGATGTAGCTGTATGGTAGTTTGAAAACAAAAGAGATTTGACAAAAGATTGGAAGAGTTTAATTGGGAATTTAGGAAAACCAGTTTGGATTTGGTTATGATAATATTAATATTTATTATTTAAAAATTATTTTTATTTTATTTTTTTTATACTCTTTAGAGAATTAAGGTAGTATTTTATAGAGAGGTTTCGAAACTCTCTATTTTTTTTGACAACAAAAATTCTTTTTATAATATTTTAATTAAGTAATATTAAGGTATTAAAGTAGTATTTTATATATATAATGCCTTCAATGCATTTTTGTATGAATGATAATTATTTTTATTCACCCATATATCCCATGTAGTAAAATTGAGATACAAAGTTTGCAATGAAAACTCTATATTCCGAACAATTTGACTAAATGTATTTTTCGCTGGCGGGTGGTAGACTTTTGAATTTTGCAGTGACCTTTTTTTTTATTCTGTGTAAATAAATTGCTTTGAAATTGCAATTAAATTTCCAAATCGAAATATCGTTGCACAAATCCCACACATCTTTTTATATTGCAATATGTCAGTAAAGCAAGTACGTATACTGACGTGTTATTTAGTTTTCGATTTCATTACATACATAACGACATCAGTGAAAATCTTATTTAATTTATAAATATACAATTTAACAAAAATTATATTGCATTTGTGTATTTTGTAGACAGAATTATAAATATAAGTCCACGAAGAGTGGAAAACTACGACATATGACATATGCCAACGCCTACTGGTAAATGATTTTTGCTGTAACTAAGTGGATGATATGAGAAACCCAAAGGGAAAAATATAAATCAAATGTAAATAAACCACCAATTTGAAAATTATTCTACGTAAGATTACCAAAGATAAAATATTTTGTTAAAAAACAACGTATTTTCACCCAAAAATTGAAGTAAATTTTCATATTACCTATTTTTTTCACAGTACCAAAGAAGAGGAAAATCAATCAAACTAATCAATCGACAATTACCCGAATAAATGCTGCAAATTGAGCACATGTTCGCATTTCATTAGTTTCAGCAGTTAAAAGATAACAAAATCATTAGAACATGAAAGCCTTGAGCAATATTAAATCTCTTCTATTTTCTATTCCTAATCTATTTAAATATTCCGAGCACAACAAGTCGGTTTAAGTAACACAAAATCTTTATAGACTACGTTCGAGATTTGAACTTTGATTGCTAATTAAGCGTTAATTTCTGCAGGGGTTGAACTTAGATACACTCGCAGCATGCAACCTTTTAAGGACTCAACATCGCAGTTATTTGTAAAACTTAAATACTTTATGTGCACAACAACCCTGCCAAATGCTTCATTAAATCAAAATAAAAATTAAAATAAAAAACATATACATTTTCAACACTTTTGGAAATCCTTAAACCACAATTGTTCTATAAGTGTGATTCTTTTGTCACAAATTGGATTTGTCACACATCATTGTCATTATCTTCGCTAGCTTTTGTGAAATGAAGTAATTGTTATCTATTTTTTTAAGAACACTTAATACCCTTCCACAGCAATAAATATAAAAAAATCTTGTGTCTATTGTCTACTCAGTTTGGTGGTTTTTATGCATGGGATTTGTGATTCACTGAACTTACCTTAACGCACGACTCAGCTTATCATAATTCATATTCGGTTTGGATTTACGTTCACCCCAACGTCTAGCCACTTCATCGGGGTCCGTTAACTTAAATTCGCCATTTGTGCCCTCCCATGTTATACAGCCAGCATTACTTGAATCCGACAATAATTCCAGTAGAAATTGCCACAATTGTATTTGACCAGAACCTGTTGGCAAAGAAATACAAGAAAATAGTATTTAAATTTTGGTAACAGATACTTATAGAGTTGTTAACTACGGAAAATAATTTTTTGTACATGTTTATAGTACGTTTTGGAGAAAATTATATAGTTAAGTAGCGTATCCTTTACGATTTATATGAGTTAGCATAAACTATAATTATACTTGCTTCAATTCAAACAATTGCTTAGCATGCAAGGAAACCATAAGATTAAGGTATTTCTGTCGAAGGTAGATGAGCTTAAGTTTCTTAGTAGTTTTACTAAGTAAACACAAAGTATCTTTAAGTATTTCTCCAGATTAAATACAAACACATCGAAAAATATTTAAATATTGAACAGATTTATAATATTTGCTTTATTTGAATTAATAAGTAATTTTTTTTATATTACATATTGGTTATTCATTTATTTATTCTTTATATTTAGATATTAATTTCTATCATACTATACTAAATGAAATAGATTGTTTTAAAGAAACTTTTTTTGGTAGTAAAAACTATATGGACTAATCATGGATACATTTAATTACCTAGGAGCTTTTAAGTAAATATGCCTTCGATTAGTTAGTAATAAAACAAAAACCCTTTACAATTTCAGCAAACATAGAGTTACTATGCTCACTGGAGTAGTAACGGAGCATTGTGCTCAGCATCGATGCGTCAAAGACGGTGTATTCCGACTAGTGGGTAGTATAGAAGTAACCACAGGGAAGAAAACAAGAACCCTTTACAACTTCAACAAACCTACAGTTGCTACGCTTACTGAAGTAGTAACGGAGCATGGTGCCCAACATCGATACTTCAAAGATAATGTAATCCGACTAGTGGATTGTATAGAGATAATCACAAAGAAGAAGATATAGAATCCGTCAATAAATTTTAATTTCTTTGTTCATGACTACAGACAAAGCTACGTTAATGCCTTGAAAATCGTTTCTTTACTGACAATGCAGAGATACTGAAAGCGGATTTATCACACAATTCTTTTTTTAAATTTTATTACAAAGCTATTCGATACTTACTGAAAGAGTAACAAACCACTATGCTTTAAAGGTAGTATATTCCGGCTGGTGGACTGTGCAGGATTTGCAAGAGAGATAGAATCTATCAATCACTCTCTATTTCTTCGTTCAGGACTATAGAGTAAGCGACTTTATTGTCTCGAGAACCATTTCTTTATTGACTTCGCAGAGATAATGAAAATAGATTTGTCGTACAAGTTTTTTGGAGTTTTATTTGAATAATATTCAATACAGGCATATAGGAAAATTTTTCACAGATATTGTTAACAATTTTTAATTCTACATATCATTTAAATTCTTTACATATTTTAAAAATTATGCTTTATTTCCCAATAATCGTTAATGAATTAATTGGACTTACTGAATAGAATGTATCAAACTATTGTCTCTTTTAAGTTCGCCTGGATATATACTCAAATTTTGAATAAAAATTCTCACATACTACACATACTAAAACTATCATCACTTCTTCATCACGCCTATTTAAAGCACCAAAGCCCCCAAGACAAAAGAAGCAATCAAAAACTCATCTTAACATGACAGGCGTGTACAAAGCTTAAATTTACAAGTAAAGTGCCATAAAGTTATGAAAAGAACATCAAAAAGTCTTTTACAGGCAATGAAGTCACCCACAAACAAAAAGGATAACTTGGTGAATTATTATTATTTTCGCTACGGATTTCAAAGAAGAACATCATAAATCGCTTAATCATTCGACAATTAGGTTCTGTTCGCTGTCACTGAGGGTGAATTGCCTGAATGTGGGAACAAACGAAGGCAGTGAAATAATAGAGTGGAGGTCCATAAGTATTGTATTATGTAGTACTACTAGTACTTTTATGTGAAACAAGAAACGAGGGTTGTTGGTTCAATGAGTGCTGCATGTTTGCATGTGAATGCACAATTCAAGCACGTTGTTTCGGAGAGAAAGCCTTTTTATCGGTTTATAATACCATTCATGTGTGAGATCGTTATGAATATTTCGTTAATTGCAAATCATCATTTAAGTAGAAAAAATTTCAGTGCAATAAATAAATATATAAAGAATACAACATAATGTTAAATTGAGCGATTTCGAAACAAAAATATTTTTATAAAACTCGGGTTGGGCAATACAGTGCAACATTATTGAATTAAATTAATAAAAAAAATGTTTAGTATAAAGCAACTTGCATTTAATTTTAAATTGTCTGATAAAATACTTTCATAGTTTTTAAGAAATATAATTTGTAATAGGAGATAGGAGATATGCTGCTTATTTCATGTACTAGAACTTCTACAAACACTTCTCGCTTCTCCTTAAAGCGGTCACAATGAAAACCCATATATTTTGCGTTTTTAGCAACATTTTTAGATTTTGAGCAGTACTATCTGTACTGCTACAGATATCTATAAATCGGAATACAGAATATCTATAAATCGGTATAGATATTCCAAAAATATCTGGGTCAAATATTTCAGAGCCTAGAAGATTGTATATTTTTATAGATTATAATTGGGGCATTCATAAGATATGTTGGTAAACGTCGGTAATATGAAATTGTTTAACAAAATTTGTTATAATAATTTTAATAAATTCAAAAAGAATTTTTCTAATTTTATTTAATTGCAACAAAATACTAAATATTTTTTAATTATTCTCAGTTATTAATATTAAATTAATATATTCGTACTTGTTTTGGAATATAAGTAAATGCTCTCTCATGACTTAAGCTAATTTTTCATTTCCGTTAGCGCGCACACCATATCCCATTTTCCATACTTGATTCTTACATATTTTTTTTTTTATTATTTTATTTTGTATACGAATATTACATGTAGAGCACTTTTACAACGGAAAATTGTAATTTTGCAATAAACAAGCAAAAAGGCATGTTTTTATATTTTAATTACCCCCGCATGCAATTCCTACATCATCAAGTGAGTCACTAAACTTGCGGACGGGCTGTGAATTGTGCCACTTTTAAGAAAGTTCAAATTTTCGCGGCTTACTTCAAAGCATAAAAGCTTTGTAACCACATTATGAATGAGTAAAGCCGCCATTTTCCTAATATTAAAGTTGTTGCCACTACAAACTCAAGCGCCATTTTACTTTGTTAGTTCGACACAAAGAGTTTGTCGTAATTTACATTAGTTTTCATTTCGCCTTTAGTTTTTTTTTTGTGGTAATTTTTCTTTGCGCTTTGTCGAAAGTGTTTTCTAGAGGTACTGTCCAATATATACACACATAAAACGCACACATATACACACGTAATACACATGAACACTTGACTGAACTACTAAATAATCACGGCAAAAACACCAACGGCATCTTTGGTAAAGGAAAAATGTTAATTTAATGAAAAAAAACGGAAATAATTAGTTTCTTTAATTTTGCTTTGATGTAGTTTTAATAATTTTTTTATAGTTTTGTTTTTCTTGTAGTTGTTTCAGCGAAATCCCTCATAAGAACAAAAATGCTTTAGTGGCCGCTCTCTTGACATGTACAGCGAACTTTATTAACTTTTAAAAAGATTTTATCCTTTTGACAGGAATTATGTTTTATTTTTGCATAAATTTTTGTTGGAAATTATGATTAAGATTTTTCATCAGCAAGGAAATTTTCCTTTGAAATTAACTTAAATTGTTTTAAAGAACATAATTTTAGGAACTATTTAATACACCACTTATAACATGAAGTTTTCTTCAGTTAAGTATTACCCTTATGAGAAGATTATGGCATCTCGACCTATTTTGCACCCTTTCGAGTAATTCTCTTAGTCCTATTATTCAATACATGCTATAAATAATAGTATTTATTGTATATTTCTTGTATCAAGCCTGAAAGCATTATCAGGTGTTATATGTCTACCGAAATGCTCTTTTTTTCACTTTCACTACAGTACATAGCACCTTCTTAGTACATGCCTTCAATTTCATCTCTCTCCTTCCAAAATCTGCATTTTTCACCATTAACGGTTTTCAGTTTACATTCCTATTATGTTCACATATTTATGTTAAACTATTTAGTTAACAATACAATGTGTAATGTCCTATTAACATTCAGTCTCTATCAGGGATTCCTTTAATTTTATTTTGGTTTAACTATTAAGGTAATAGTTCTTTCTACCTACCTTCTACCTTTCTTTTGAATTTCTGTTATAATTTTTCTCTTCCCTTTTAAAAAATCTGCAAATCTGATAAGAAATGCTGCTATGTTGAATTTTGACTATTATCTAAATAGTTCAATCTGCTATGTCCTGACAGAATTTCTTCTACAATTCATTAGTTCTTATATGTAAAATCTCTACATGACACTAGAGATGCATCCTAACTTAATAAGATAGTAGTTCAATAAGATATGTCATAATTCGTATCAGAATGCCTAATATAATATTTTATCACCTCTTCGTTATGTTCAAACAACCCTAACATCGACTTGGGTTACAGATCCATATAAACGACTTGCAATGTAATAAATCCATTAAATTGAACCAAAATTATGTACTATATTTTCGCTTTTTCCTTTTAACATAGTGGAAAAAGTTCTAACCTTACCCAAGGTATAGAAGAATTTTTACCTATTTTTCTACTTTTCTGGCAAGTTTATCTATCCCTTTCGTTAAATGAATCGATGGAATTCATATTTTATTACTTTAGATATTTAGCTTTTTTAGACACTCTTTTGAGTGTTTTGAGTGTCCATTCAATCAAGATGATTAGTTTATAAGAAACTTTATGGAAAGAAATAAATAAAGAGCTTTCTTTAAAGGCGAAACAATATGAAAATTACAATAGAGTCATAAAAAATCTAGGGTTATCTTCTTTATTATCTTTTATAAATAATAATATTATCTTTATAATTATATATATTATTTACTAACCAACGATGTAATAATAATCTTTATTGTTATACTACTTCTGGTATAATAAATTTGTAATAAGGTAAAATTATAATAAGACTTCTTTAGAGTGTTTTGAATATTATAAAGTACTAATATCAATAAAAAAATTACAAGATGAAATCTTACAAAATCTTGCGTTTACATCTTGTAATATATGAGCGGGGTTCTTCAGATAGAATTGTATTTCACAAACTTGAGCTTCAATGGGCGTTTACATCTTGTAATAATGTGGGCTAACAACATAATACGCAATATAATTATACACTATTTGTTCTCCAATGTTCTTAAATAATTAAACTTTAACAAGAAAATTAAAATATAAATTAAAATGCAATTTAAACATTTTGATAGTGTGATTTTTTCAATATTAATTACTTTAAAATTACATTATGTTTTCAACTAAATATAAATATTTTTTATTTTAAATTCATTCAATTTAAAAGGAAATTTTAATTTAAATTTTTGGTTGCATGTTTAGAACATTTAAATTTAGTACAAGTACAATTTATGGATGGTGCTGTTGCACCGGACCTCTGGTAACAAAGCGGTTCCGTGTAGAAAGGAAACTATAATTAATCAAAAACAGCATTTTTGCCACTATGAAATAGAAAGCACACGATATAAATGTAAGCAGCTTTAGTAAAGGACCTTACATATACTATATATTATAAAAAATCATAAAAAGAAAAAATAATAATTAAAGAAAAAAAATCACGATGAGGAGAAGTATTGCAATAAATTGGCACAGGCGCATGTTTAACCTGGCAAAGGTGGCACGAATCAATGGCACAACATTGTAAAATTGATGAAAACTGCTAAAACTGTACAAAACTAAAAAAAGTTTTGAATAAATATATATGCTGGCAATAAAGTAGACATACTCACGCCCACTCGCTAAGCAGTTAGTCCCAAATAGTCCAACAATAGCTAAAGGTTTAAGTGAGTGTGGCAACGATGGCGGGTTAAAAATACAATTTAAATGTCGCGCCGGAAAATGGTAGGCGATTGGGTTTTTATGCTAATTCCGCTTGGAGTAAGCCACTTGTGCTTATGTACACAGTTATATGGAAATATATATATATATATATACATATATATTTATGTAGGCTTTTAGAATGTAACATTTGTATTAGGAAAATCGTTTTTATATTTCACGGCTTTTAAAGGTTACATTTGTATGAAATGAGGTCAATATATGAAAATGTTTATCAAATGAAAAATAATAAAAAATGTAAATATATTTATATCAGAAATCAAATACGAGGGCTACTGTTAATGTATTTTTATTTTGATTTTTTAATGTTATTCACAAGCATTTCACTCTTGACCACCTTATGAAAATGTAAACTAAATTTTAACATTAAATGTTGCAAAAAGGACTTTTATTGAAAGCCATATTTTTTACTTTAGCCTGGCAAGTACAACGCTTTTGTCTGCACATTTATGTCCTAGTGAAGTTGTTATATTGTGTATTCCCTTTCGACAACTCACATAAATCTACAGAACATTTGACTGAAGGCTTCGTGCTTAACTTTCATAAATATTCCTGCATTTTGAATATTTTAAGGAAATTTCAAAAAAAAATTATATCAAACAGCTAACACTGATTTTATATTTCATATTAATACAGTTATTTTACGGTATTTTGTGTAAATTGAATATGAAAATTAACAGAAAATTTTTTCTTTCGATTCATACATTTACTAGTACAAATGTATATAATGATAAAAATTGAAGATTCTTATCAAGGATATAAAACTTAATTAAATTCCTCAATTTTCTATCAATAATCACAAAAATATAGTTTATCTATTTATGATCTGTTGCAAACAGCAAGAACATAACCCGTCCTTGGGTCGTATGAAAAGATTATCATATATTGTTAAAGTCCATTATTTTATTAAAATCGGATTGCACCTTTAAAAATGGAATAATCGTTCGTTTATCAAACTATTGCAGGCCGTTAAATATAATACTATGTAATGCATGAATATTAGTTTCAATATATACTCATATGAAAGAAATAACGCGCATAAATGCCAAAAGTCCTGTAATAATATAATTGCTTTTGGTGAAATATTTTAAAAACATTCAATATAAATTACCTTTTAAATCTAATGTTATACAAAGAATTCTTTCAAAACAAAAACAGTTTTCTTAACAAGAAAAAAAAACAGTAATAAGTGTTCATTAAATTTGTACAGCTGTGGTTTATGCATTTTATACACACAACTATGAACACCAAGTTCATAGTTGTGTTTAGAAAACAACTAAACCATAAGTTCAGTCAACAGGAATCAAGTCCGAAATGTGAAATAATCAAAATAATTAAAACCAATAAATATTTCCAAAGATCACTAATGATGGCAATACCCGACGTAGGTGCGTGGTTAGCTTAAAAATACATTCATTTAAAAAGTGTGATTTGTAGCTATATATTTGCACTATTATTGCTTTATTATTGCTATTATTGCTATTTAAATTTGTTTTATATAGACAATTATATAGACAATTTCAAAAGGGATTCATTCTTTTCGAAATCATAACAAATTAAGTGCAAAGTGCAATGATTTGTGTATCAATTAAGTGATTCAGATTGTCAGCAGAAATTTTAGCATTAAGAATGGAATAAACCTTGCATTATCAAATATAAACCTTTAAACATAATGTTACATAAAATATTCTATAAATACTTTTGTAAAATAAGTAATTTACGCTAAATAACAAATATGCCGTTACAAGCCTTATTAGAAGCCGTTAGAAAACATCTACGTCCATAAAATGCTTTCTTGTTATCAGCAATTGCATTTTTGAGAAAATAGAAAGCGAATAGCTCCAAACCGGTGTAATATGTGGAATGCTTGCATTTTCGATACACATGATTAACAATAGATGATCTCACCATAATTCCTTTCTTTAATAAGTCATGTTTCCTTCATAAAACTTCTTTTCTATTCATCATTCCACAGTTATCTCATCGTATTGGAGTTTATAATCAAAAAACTACAAACGAATTGTTACATAGACAAAAAAAATATATAGTGATGTAAAATCAAATGTTCTTATTTAATCAGAAGTATCGCATCATAACTCAACGTCAAATGAATATGTTTTCTTTGTAAGAAAGCATAGGACACCAATCAAGAATGACGATCGGTTTCAGCACTACAACTGCTTTGGGCGCGTGCTACAATACTTTCCATATATGTACTACTAAAAGCGATATATTTTCAAAATCAACTAAATTATACTGACTCTAAGAACAATATTGCGCTGAAATTATCTGCACCATTATAGCAATTTCGGTCAAATTATTTTAGACATTATTGATGAATTTTTGACTTAAGTATAATTTAATATCAAGATGGACAATTTTCAAAATTTAAGCAACACCTAACACTGTGTAGATACAGTGTACAGGAAGTGTTATAAAGTCTTCTAAATTTTGGTATGAATGAATGTTAGAAAACTTAATATTTCTTCAACTTAGGTCTGGTACTCATTAATTTTTGTTGCCTAGGCGATCGTTCAACTGCACTCTGATGCTAATACTGGACACTTTTGTAATAACTTAAAAATTATGCATTTCATTTTATTATTTTAATGATTAAAAAATTGTATATTTTAAATATTTTATAAAGTTTATAAGCTCTGTTCATAATTTTAATGTTATTCTAAATATATACACATTTTTTGTTTAAAATCTGTTACATTGATAACTTTCCCAAAGGGTTAAGCTCCAGTAATTTATCATATTAGAACCACGCCTATAAGGATTAACCTCACATGTAGTACACACGTTATGAATTTATAATGAAATCTATAATCTAACAAGAAGGACAAGTAACAAAGTCATAACATTTAATGGATGACAGGAACAAAAGTGAGCAGTGCTTACAACCATACATAGCGAATAGGATTTATATGAAAGCAGATTGTTTTGAAAGAAACATTAAGATTTTTAAACCCTTTCGTAAACTAATAGTTTTATTGTTATATCAAATTTATGATCACGTGCAGAATATTAACCAGAAAGTGTAAAAGTGTAAAAAATATTCCGTAAGGATATGTTTTGGCGTTTGAATGTAAAATAAAAATAAAAATGAATAAAACTGAATTGAAAAGAAAGAATATATCAGCCACACCCCTAATATATATTAACCAAGCTCATGGTAACTGCGCAACACCTTTCGAAATACAAAGCCGATAACATTGCCTGTGAGGAAAGGGTAACTCAGAGCAATGCATATTTACCCAAACACCAGTTTTAACTAATTTAAAGGTGTTTTTGAGTGTAATATATGCAGTTTAATATATAATTGTTAAAGAAATTAAAAATAAATCGACTCATAGGCGTTCGCAGACAACGTTGAGGTAAACTGAATTTGCAATAGACATACAGTAGACATTGGTTTTCACGATAAAACGCTGTGTGAAACGTAGGCACGCAAGTCTTTAGTGGAGGTCCTTAATGGTACAATAAAAATACCCTGCTTGAAAACTGAATATAAAAAATCGCTTTTAATGCTATGATAATGAAATTCTAGTGATTTTTTAAAAGACAACGGACGTGTGTCATGCTTAACATGGGGCTAACTCACAATAGATGTAAATTAGTTACATTTTGACTTTATAAACGATAATACACGTGTCCACTTGAGAGCTCCTGCATTTGACGCGGGCTAATATCTTAACACCTGCATCTTTCTGCTACTGATTTTTTATAGACTATGAAATGCATATAAATGAGTATATGTGTATAATCGCACTCACCAGAACTTGCTAGTCGACTGCTTGTTGGTCCAAACATTTGATATGGATCTGTAATAAAATATATAAAAAATTCAATTTAAATAAAATTATCATATAAAAATAAGAAATATATTTCACGTTAGTTTGATATTTGCAAACCATTTTAATATTTGACATAAATGTATTTCCTGGCTGATTTTAATTTATTTTGAAAAGGTGTGCATAATATTATGGAAATGCTTAAATGTACTCTAACTTCGCTAACAGGAAGGAGTAATACTACGGAGGCCCATTTCAAGTAGTTAAGGAACAATTGCAAAACTTAATTGCTGCGTAGGAGTAGGCAAATGTGCCAAAAAAAAAAAAAAACATGGAAAAAAATACATATGCAAAATAGCGACAAAAATATTAAAATCCTTATACTTGCACACTATGGAACCACAAATATGTCCACAAACATTTTAAGTGTCTACGTTGAATGTTGGTTTCCGAAGGACAAATGCAGCTAAAGTGCATTTTAAGATACTTATCCGCTTTTTTATTACATTTTATTTTATATTTTCTTGTTTTGTGTATATTGTGTATTGTATATATTTATGGAGTGCACTTGGGCGTGGCACTTGAAAATCTTAATGCTGTTGTTGTTGTTTGTTCGTTTGCTTGTTTATACATCTGTAGAAATTATATATTTGTACAGATGTAGAAGCAGTTACTGCTTAAAAAAGCCACAATATAAAGCAATTAACACAGTAGCAAGATTATTATATCAGCTATATCCTGCTTATGACTTAACTGATTTTAACAACTTCAGACATTGCTATAGCTAGGAACAGAGTACTTAAACAACAAAAAATGTTGCATGTGGAATCAACATATAACTAAACGGCTTGAAGTTCATATTCTTCAGGAAGGTTACATTTCCCCGATTCACACTGATATTGTTGCTATTATGATAATAATTACATACTCTTGAGTTATTGTAAATACAGTCTATTCTCAAGCAAGCTCTACTACATACATATATATGGCAAATAATTTCCTTTTAGACTTAATGAAAGCATTTTCATTTAAAAATAGTTCTGCCTATACATATATCTATATATAAATAAAACAATGTGACTTAATTTCATGTATGCATAAACGCAGACGTCTAGATTTTGTTTCGCATTGTATTATTCATTATTATGAAGTTGACAAACTTTCTCATTGTAGCTGAGAATTATTGTTTTTTTTTTTTTGACTGTATAAATCTTGAGTCTTCGACGCATTGCCTACCTTATATATATGAATTATATGAAAATTACTGGCATATTGTTAAAAAGTATTAATTTATACATATATATATACAAATGTATTTGTGCATTCGTATCTGTGTGCATTATTGCCACGCGACTTTGTCACACATTCATCATATTTACAGCATTCCCAATGCAGCATTTACGCTCTTTTTATTATTATAATATTTTTAATGCTTGGTCTCGTGGCCGTCAAATTTTGACAGACACATCACATCAACAGTTCTTAAAACGACTAAGCTCTGCTATAATTGAGACGCTTAATGGCAACCCAATTGTTTCATTTTGGATTTTTTATATATAAATTTTTTTGTTTCCATTTCATTTGAAATGAGTTTTCATTTCATTTCAATTCAATTTATGTATGGATGTTTTTTTCCGTACTCGAGTACTTTTCAAGTAGCAAATTTAGGTTTGATTTGCGACTGTTACCGTACGCGGCAGTCAGTTGATGCAATCCATATACCATACAATATATAAAGTTTTCATTCTACTATTCAATTTTTTTATATTGTACTTTATTGTATTTTGTTTTAAAATATACATAAGTTTGTTTTTATATGTCAATGCCGTGCGGTTTTCTTTTAAAGACCCTTTTGTGAAATACACAAACTTTTTAAGGGTCTTTAAAGTATTTGTTTCACTTTAAGTGCCTTTGAGTGACTCGCTTTTAAAAGGTCTTTAAATGAAACGCTTGTATAGCTTTCAGCTTTTTATGATCTTTAGTGTTGAATTAAGTTGTTAACGCAGTAAAAACATGATCATTACGGGTACTGAACACGGCTATACAACATTGAATGAGAGATAAATGATGATTGGAAGGATTGAACTGGACTTCAGAGCATTACTAGGGATAAATGCTGAAGAAATTTTTGTTAACTGTAATAAGTACCCGTATATAGAGAACAAATATTGATTTTACTATTATTTAAATATTATTATTTTTTTATTAAATGTTTTTATTAAATAATATATATTTGTTTAATGCTAATTACATATTCATTCTAACTCAATCTTGAAATCGCTTAACAACTTTAAAACCAAATAAAAATATTGAGAAATATTTAAGGATTTAATGAGAGTGTACGTAGAAAATTGGGATTAATATAGAAAGGAATGGGTTCGAGGATTCCATATATTTATCTTAACATTTTTCTAACTTCTTAAACTCCTCTAAATTATGCGTTGGATGCGTTTTTAATTCATGATTTTAAAATACTGAACCCAATGGGTAGAAAATTTTTTCATTGCTGAATCTTAACACTATGTTTTTAAAAAACATAAAACATCCACAGTTACACCAGATTTTATCGGATCTTTTCAAGACAGACAAGAGGCCAAACAGAAATATATGAAATGACATACTACCAATAGAAAAGCAGAAAGTTATACTGAAGGACGGACAATAAATCCAACAGACATACCTGTCATATGTGTTCTGTAATACGAGTTATATGTTATATATTATGTATTAAAATTTTATTAATTATATATTTGAAGTTATATATTACGTATTTTACATACGTTATTAGTACATATATAGTTTTTTTGGTGTACAATGTCCTTCTCAAATAATCCCCATAATTTATTATTAGTATCAAGAGATCAGATCACTTGAAATAAATATAATTCTGTTTTTTCAAATTATTCCAGATCGTAAAATAAAGAACTCAATATGAAAGAATTGCATTATATGTCTACTATACTGAACTAATCTACTTCTTACAAAGCTATTGATTTATGACAAAAATTTATTTAAGAAAAGTTAAGAAGCATTGGTGAGTGATATTGGAAATGATTAAAACATAGTAAAATAAATTTCATTTTAAGTATTAAAAGAGTTTTTAATACTTACCAGGTTGCCTCAGATGTGTATGTGGATCCAGCGATGACTTTCCAACGCTGACCCCTACACTGCTCAGTGCGTTCGAACTATAGCCTGGAAAATATGTTACATCTTATTAATATAGTTGTCTTAATATTATTATTATAGTGTTGTATGTATTACAAATTATATTACACAAAAGACGTAATGAATTTCAGTTTGTTATTATATAGTCCTTTTTCAATCCTTATATTGATTCAATATTCAATATATAAAATAGTAACGTTTATAACAAACTTTATAGCTGACTGACTAGATTATATTAGTACGATTAATAGGGTAAACTTTGTTCCCTAAACTAAACATTATTAATCAGATATATATTGTCGAATAAATGTTGTTTTTTCAAGGAGTGTATCCATCTGAAAGAAGTTAAGTTATTCTAAATAATAAAAAAATGAATTAATTTCAAAATTCTAGTAAAATTGTTTAGTTGAGGAGGATATCCGCTTGACAGAGCTGTCTATTAAAAAAGTTTTCAATATATTACTTAAAAAACGTTCAATTCATTTTAATATTAACTAAAATTAACATTTTAGAATTCTATAATGTTAAACTCAATGATCGTATGAAGATGATGCCCTTCATCATATACGACCATAGCTATATGTATAATGCACATCACTATTCTTTTTTATAATGTTAATAAAATTAATTTAAAATCAAAATATTTGTATACATGTCATATGTTTTTAGATAGGTCTATATAAAAACTGGATCTATTCCTCAACGAGAATCAATTCTCCGATAATTGTGAATTAAAATCTCAAAATATCTAACCAGTGAAAGACGTAAAGTGTAAACAATTCCTTTTAATGGTTTGTGATTATAAAGAACCAAAACAATGCCTGGAGCTATACAATTTTAAATTTGAACCAAAAAAAGAGCAAGACAAAATTAAATCAGAAACGTGGCAAAAAGTTGGCGCTATACAAATTACACCCTACGGCGATGAAATCAGTTTTGCTTGTGATGTCACTTCTGGATGAACACCGTAAGCACAGAGCAAACTTGAGGCAGTTGTTGTTGATGATGGAAGTTATGGTGGTGATGACGTTTGAGCTGATGCAAAGTCCTTTGTGGCGTTATTCAACTGAGAAAAGAACAAAGGACACATTGTTGCGTGATGCTTGGGAAAAGACATGAAGCTGCGATGTACGCAACGAAGCTGAAATTTTATTTTTTTGAGGCTATAATGTCAAGCGACAGAAGTATGGAAGGTGTTGGTTCTAAGTGACAAAAGGAACGCCTTACAGTGAAAGTGGCTGCACTGTAAAATTGGCATAAAGTAAGTCAAACACACTAATATTGTGAATATATTTAAAGTATCGTGTAAAAGAAATATTAATATATATGAATATTCAAATTTTATTATTACATTCATTTTATTTATAACAAATAAACTTATAATAATTATAAATATTCTATAAATATTCTTATAAATATATATATTCTGAAATATAGATAAATGAAAAATAAAACTAATTAGATATTATAATAATTAATAAAATTCAAAACTACCTCCCCACACTTAAAGCCAATTAACGTCAATATTATTTGGTTGTTGCCATATATGTTGTTAATCATTGGTTCCGAATGCCAACCCAATAACATGTCCCGGTTCATTGAATCACAAATAAGATTATTTTTCTTAGTCAAACATTTCAGCACCCTTTTTCCCACACATTATCAATTATATTAACGTGTTCATTCAAATATGGAAATGTTAAGGAAAAATGGTGAGGAAAATTGAAAAGTTTAACACGTGTAATGCGCACCTTTTATCTGTCATATTTGTGTGATATTTGATTATAGATATTTTTCGGTTATTGATTGTTGAATTCTGAAAATTGTATGCTTCATTGGTTTTTAAAAGGCAGTATATGTTTTACTCCTTCAAACATTTTTTTTTATCAAAATTAGCATAAATTTTTATTTCCATTTATATGGTTAATATTTGCTATGAAATGTTATATTTTTGTGCATAAGTAATAATAATATAGAAGTATTTGAAAAAGTTTCATAATTGAAGCTACAGATACATTTTTTATAATAGTATCAAATTTATATAAATAATTTTTAAATGGCACTTCAAACTTTTAAAATAGTATAAATAAAAATCTTACAAGTACGAATGGGTAATATTACTGATTATACTATTGATATTATTATTAATATTACTCAATTAGTATACAGCAGAATTTAAAATAATTATTAAGATTTTTAATCACATATTAAGTAAGATATTAATTATTGAACATTAAAAAAGCAATCTGCACTAATGAACTAATTATAACAAATATTAAATAGTAAACAATATCATAAATAACAATTTTAAAGATAATATATTATTTCTTTGATCGAATCCAACGTTGCTAGGCAATGAATTATTCAGGCTGTGAGCGATTTGAGACTAAATTTTAGTTTTTATTAAATTATTTTAAAGATGAGAGAAAACTGTTTTTAACATTAATAAACCTACCTATAATAACCTATTTCAGTAAAATTACAAATGGACTAAACTCTCTTGTAGTCAATGTCATAAATACAGTTGGTTCAACAATATTATTGAGAAAACTTATAAGTTAAAATTGGTGACCATTCATATAAAGAAGTTTTAATCACAATTCTCACATTCCTTTATAATTTATAATTTTTTAAAGTTTTTCCTTTCACGTATTATTGATTGTATTCAAATCTGATATCCCTTTTGCACTTTCTGTAAACATTTTTTTTTATAAAAAATAAAAAAAAAATTTTATAAAAAATCATGGTGTTATTCATATGGGTTCAATCACTACTATCCCATCTGATATTTATCAATGTAATTAATATGATATTCGACTCAACCAATTTATATTGCCTGAATTGGAAAATAATCATAAAAAGTCGGCAATTATAATACTGATGGCATTATTTTATTTAGTAATGTATATATCACGATCCAAGAAAAATTTGTTACAAACAAATATTTACTATTCGAATCACAGAGAGATTTGTCAGAAACAAATTTTAACTATTCGAAGGATCAAAACTAAATCTATGCGGATTGAAATAATTACCACATCACATAAAGAAATAGTTAGATAATGTATATGTGATGTTGAAGAGATTGATGTATAGTACATCTCAATAATGTACTCATTTCTGAAGTAACTATTTTTTTACTGGATTAGAACACGTATAGTGAAATATATCACTAAAATGAAATTTGTTTTGTCTTAGTAAACTCAGTTTTAATGTACCCTCTTTTAACAATTTATTTTATAATCTTATATTACTATAATTTTCAAATAAATTTTCAAATAAATACATTTATGATGAAACATACAGTAGAATCATTAAACCTTACACCTAGTATTTACTTATTATAATTCCTATCAAACACAAACTTTTAAGCAGAAAATATAAGCGTACTTGGCACACTCTACGAATCTGTTAAACGGAAATAGGTTATAGCTAGTAAGACGCTAGTAAATACAGCGTGAACGTTAAAAATTCCGTGATAAACTACTTCAATAAATGTAACATATCGAGATAAGGTTAGTTCTTAATTACTTCTAACAACTATAATCATGGAATATACCGTTTATTATTATTTACATATTATGTTCTGTATCAACTTAGTATTCAATAAAAAATACTTAATAAATGTAACTGATTTAAACTAATAATGTATATATGTATTACCCTAAGCTCTATGAGATTAAATGTAACAACAGGTAACTATACCGTTCTAAACTATTGATTAATATAATTTGTATAGCGGATTCTCAGAAACTTCCGAAAGTATTTTTTTTCTTACCTTGCGATTGTGCTGAACTGTGGGATCCCCACGAGGATTTGTATGAAGAATCTGTAATGAAGCAAATGCATACTTTTAAAAATATATCAAATAAAAAATACTTTTATTTTTTGTAAGATTAATAGAAGAAAATATGTTATAAATATTTTAATAAAACAAACTTAAGTCTATTCTATATTTCAGATATTGTTTTCTATTTTCCTATACTGTATTAGAACTTGTACTACATAATTTATAGTACATATATTATAGTACATAATATAATTGTTCTTTGCTATTGTTTGGCGTCGTAAACTTTCTTGTAAATAGTGGAAAAATTACTATTTACTACAGAATATTTTAATTTTGATTTCTATATATTTTTATAAGAAAAACTAGAGGGAGAATTCCTTACCAGGTTAACATTATTAAACACTTCAAGGACAAGTTACCCATAACTAATTACTCCAATCAATGTATACTACAATAAACACTTATTACACATAAAAATATCAATTTTAAACAGATCTAATTGCTTTCCTATCTCAAGTTCCGAGAACTTATAATAAAATTTTACAATTTTTGACAATTATTCCCTAAGACCTCTTAAAATTATAATCAACTTTTCGAGTTCTTGAAAAGTATTCCCTAAAAACTGTTGACATTTACTGTCTTGAATTTTGAATTTTTCTTATTTTTCACTAAGCACTAGTTTTTAAAATTTAATTGTATATAAAATTAATATGTACAAATACTTTTATTATTATTTTTTATTCGAAATATTTCTATTAACTTCGTAAAGCTCAAAGTCCTCTTATACCGTTTTTTTTTTTTGAATAACGACTCGAAGCTTCTTTTCATGCTTTCAACTTCTGGTATTATAAGTTATAACAGTCCTCATATGAATAAATTATTTTTTTTATGGAAGACTAGAATCTTTCTTATGTATTTCTTCAGCTTTCAGGGTTATAAACCAAATTAAGCGATATATAGGCTTACCTGCAAACAACATTGAAAAGTTGCTAAAACTTCCCGTCGATCGTGACAAATAATCAGCTGAAGTTTTAATATCAAGCATCATGGCACAAAAAGCAAAGCGGCGGTATATTTACGTTAATTATACGCCGCCGACGGTATATAATTTAGAGTTTCTTAAAAATCGTTTAAGTATCTTATCTTATGTATTAAAATATACTCCCCACAATCGGTCATTTTCTTTCAATAAAAAATTGTTTAACGACTTTTCAAAAATATTCACAATAAAATAACAACAAATATAATTGTAATATTCACATTTAGCATTTAATAGAACTACTCCGAATTATTATTTTATTTTGCAAACCGGAAAATAATAACACCAGAAGCCCACAATTGTCGAGACCGCAAAATAGTATTGATGAAAAAAAATGTACACGAATACTTAAATAAATTTATTTAAAATGTTTGTACAAAAATTCATTGATTGTGATGTTCAGTAATCGTCGGCGTACGCGTCGCTAACGGAACAGGAAAAGGAACGGGAAAAATGACGATCGGAACCGGTTACCGTTACCGGACACCTCAACTTCCGTACAACTTTTAACGTAAGTGCTCCGAATATTACGTCCAAATCACACAGTATATTTTCGGGTTATAAATTATAAGTAAGCGCGCACCTTTATGTGTTTGTGCAAATGTCAATTGAGATATATGGACTCAGTTTGATATGAAAACCTAAGACACGACAAGTTTTAAATGTAAATTTTAATTCTAAATAGTAGCGTCGGAATATGTTCAAAATCGCCTTATACTTCTATATGACTTTCTACTTGCACTGAAGTTTACGTAAAGTACATTTTATTGAATTTACTGAAATGATACCGGATTGCGACTGATCTGTGGCACGGCAACGTAACAATTGATTTCATTCCGTTGTCAAATCGCACATATCCTGCACAGTTACCGGCGCGATGATATAGTTTGTTGGTGCGCATTACAACCCCGTTTAAACTTTGTGTTACGCCCGCAAGGGTGAGTTGGCGGATGTCAGTATTGTAGCATGTGGGTGAGTGGGTGGTTGATTTAACTGATACTCTGCGGTGCTTCAGTTTAGGGGTAGCTTTTTAATCAACAAAAATATTTGTTGTTTTTTTTTTTGTTTTGGAACGTGTATACTTAAGCTTTAATCCATACCAGCACCATTTTCCGTTGAAACACCAATCAGCACAAAGACAAGGTGTGGCTTTCTCATATGCCGCACAATGTGCAGCAAGTAACCAAAAGCTTTTTTACTCTTTATGGCAAAAATCAAATTCAATAAGTTATGAAAAAGGAAAAGGGCTGGTAAAAATATCGGAAATACTTGCCAAATTACTATTTCGAGAGGAAAGCAAATTTGGTTAAAAGCTTTGACGTAAAATAAACATTTTCTAATTGATTGAAATTGAAAGCTCAAAGAAATTTTTGAAGAATAAAGTCCTGAAGATACTTATATTCAAACTGAATACATTTGTACATATTTACATATAGCTATGTTTCATATTCGAATTCGAAGTTTCCCAGTAAGTTTTCCTTATCTACTACTGAACTATATGAAAAGCTTTTTTTGTCTTACGAAAGCTCCGTTTGTAAACAAATATGGAGGACGATACTGTTTTTGGTCGAGTAACTTTAATGGTAAGAGAATACAAGTTGGCGCGCGTGGTTTTTAGTGGGTGACACGAAGCAACAAGGACGGATGTATTATCCACTTCCTTTTTCCTTCCACCAAACACAAGGATATTACCGTTTCGTCGTTTTCCACGTTATCTAGACGCCAGTTGGGGTGAGAAGCATACTAACTATAGTTAAAAAAGTTTTGCTTTGAATTTTCAGCAGTGGCTAAAATGAATACACTACCAGTAACTACACACACTTTGCATATAGATTTCATTGTAGGACGATGTGAATACAAGAGTGGGGAACCGCACTATGGAACGTGTTTGATGCATCTGATACGAGTAAATCAACTCCTATGTTATTCATTCACCATTCACCTACAATTTGACTGCGAAGTAAGTGAAGCAGTCAAATATAGGCGCTGCAAGAGGGACGGGTATTAATGCCGCTGATGGTATATGATAGAGAGGAAGGAACAGTTAAGTGGTGCACACTCATGCCGCCAATTCCTGCCGATTGTTCCTCAACATGCCAGCAACGCCTGCAAATTACACTTTATACTCATTTGCTCAAGTCACTAAATATGGGTGTGCTTGTATGTGTATATAAATATATAACACAGTATTAGTTCAAGCGTTCGTATGATTGTGTGTAACTAAACATACAAGTCGGTATGTGTATGAGTCGGTACATACACATACATTTGTAGGAGCACTGTTATAGAACGGGTGTGTCGCTTGTTGGAGCTATAAAGTGTGAGCGCTTAATTAATTTTTGAGATCATTGAAAAATATTTTGTTTTTGTTGTTGTTTTTTGTTTTTTTTTTGCTGCTTGCTTTTTAAACAGTGCCTTTCATTTTGTTAAGCATATATAAGCTTTGTTTATTGTGCTATCCCACCGCCCGCAGGCGTAGAAAAGCAAATTGCAGTTATGTTCCTTTCAATACTTTTGCTTGTTTCTTGTTTGAACTTTTTTCCTTTTTATTTAAATTTGGTTTTGAATGATTTTTGCATGAAAAGACGTTCTGTTTTTCCAGTTTTAATTTTTACTTACTTTGTTGTTCCTGACATTTCTGTTATTTGTGATTGTGTTTGTGTTTTCAGTTTTGTTGTTGTTATTTTATACATTGCTTTCTGTTTATTTTTCTTAGCACACATTTTTCTACACCTTTCATAGTTCGACTCCTTTTATAGTTCGTCCATCTGGTTCGAGCGCAAGGCATTCATTCATCAGCAGCCATTTACACTCTGAGCTCGGTGGGGCGGTGAGTAGTAGGAGGTTAAATTTTGACACGCAGTTATTCAATAAAAAGCAGAAAAGTTTTTCTTTGCTTAGCTTTGTGCTAATGGCATCAAAAAGCAATTTTATGTCGTAAAAGACGTTTCTCATTGTACTTTGCAGAACACAACAAGCGTAACGATATATTTTTGATGTTCATTTTCTTGATTTTCAATAGTTGAAGGGCGGGCGTATTAATTACTATTTACTCAAATTACACATAATGTTATTCTCATACTTATTATTTTCTAATAAATATATTTAAATTTTTCAGTATTTAATTAGAATACAAAGCCAAGCTCTGAAAAGGCTTTTCAAGGTACCATGGTAAATTAGAACGAATGACATCCTCAGGGACCTCAATATTGATCCTATCAAAAAATTCATAAAGGATAGAGCCTCGAAATTATTTACGAAAACTGATAGGCTTACCAACACCACGTTATCAAATCTCGGAATGGTTACAGGCTTCTCGGGGAGGTACGCAAATCTGAGGTCAATTATTGCTTAGTCTGATGAAGTGATAAACAATAATCCAGTCAAAGCGTAGAGAGGGGTTATGAAGAAACCTCGCAGTTAATAGAGAGTAAAAGTGCTCAAGTGCACTGACTAAACTAGCCTCAACATAATAATAATTTGATTTTAAATAAAAGAATCTTTGCGATTTGCTGAGGAGAAGGAGAAGGGACACAATCGTTCAATTGAAAATGGTTCGACGAAAATTAAAAAAGAAACCACCGCTAAAGCGCAAGTTAACTTAACCATTGCAAAAGTTCTTCATATGTCCATTTTGCAATCATCCGAGGTCTAGTAGAGATAAAATGAATATAAAGCAAAAAGTGGCGTTAATTAAATGTCAGATTTGCGAGGAGAAATATCAAACCACGATTACATATTTGTCTGATTCGATAGATATCTACAATGATTGAATAGATGCTTACTATGCCGTTAATTAATAGGACATAGGTATCCTAATAATATACATTATTTTAAAAAAGAAATATACTGAATAAATTGAATGAATTTTAAACATAAACCTTTAGATCCACAGTTCTGGAAATCGAATTTTTTTACTAAACGTTTTCTCATATTGCCAAATATACTGACTCTCAAATTTTTGTCTATTTTTGGAAACAATCCCAAATCTAATGGTCCTAGATCCGAGGAATATGATGCAAGCCATAAGAGTGTAATTAAGTTTAATTAAGTTGTAGGTCTTTTTAGCAGTGCGACCTGTCGCACTGTATAGTAAACATATTTCAGCATACCATTTAGCAGTCTATCGTCAATCAAAACTTCAGATTCAATTTCTACAACTTTTTGGTATAGATTTACATCATTACTACTGTTGTTGACCTCTGTTGCCTAGCTTTAAGGGATAGGTTAGTCTTTTCGGTGCTCCATTCATTCTATTCAGTGTTGTTTTAATTCAAAATCATACTTTTAGAAGGAAGATTTATTAACTACAACAATTTTATTATATTGTTAAAGAAAATATTGAGCAAAGCGATCCGCTTTATCTTTATTTGTGTTCGGTTGAACTCACAGTGCGGATTTCTTCGTGTTTCCAAGATGATTGCTTAATATTTGCCATACAACCTTTCAATTATAGTTCACAAGCAATCATTTCTTGAGTCAGTCTTGGATCCGATTTCGAACTTCGCTAAAGCGAGGTTTTTATCAACTGTCGAAGTTATTGGGCGACCTTCACGAAATTTATCCTCCAAAGAAAATCCTCCAGTCTGGAATATCTGAATCCACATCAAGACGATGTCAAGCGAATTTGGGTTTTCTCTTTATGTCACAGACTGAAAATTAAGCCATAATGCATATAATTTGGATAACTAAATCTTAACTAAAACTAAAATTTGTAAAATTTTTTTGTTTGCAGACTTCTTTAACATGAACAAAGTTAAATAACCATAATAGGAGAAACGATAATCGAAAACGTTCACTTCGATGTCTGAATATGTTCTGCAAATCGTTAAATCGAATACCATAATAAACTATTTCAGTATGTTGTGAATTTAACTTGAAAAAACAAGGTGCGAATCCTTATTATAAAAGCTCAATTATAGAAAAATGCTGATTATTAGATACAAATTTCGTTCACAAAAATTTTCCCTAAAATGAAGGCATGAATAAACGAAAATTTATTGGAAATGGAACTATAGTTTTAAAGATTATCAAAAAATATATAGACTTAGATATATATAGATTGTCTTCTTTCAAGGCTATAGAATAGATTATTCTAATTTATGATAAAAAAAATCCGATCAACTTTATT